GAGATCGTCCTGAAGAGTGAACGTGATGCTGCCGCAGCGGCTGGCAATACCCCCGCCCCATCAACCGGTATTGCTGCTGGCCTTGGCCAAGCTCTCTCTAACGTGGGCCGTGATTTGCAGCGTGAGGCCTATATGCAACAATCCGAGGAAATTGCTCTGCGTTCTGAGCAGCTCTTCAAGGACCTGTTCAAGAGCCAACGCCGCAAAGCCGGCACAAAGTACATACTTGCAACGTCGTTCAAACATGTCAGCCCAATGTTTAACGTCACCTGGATGTCGATCTTCTCTACACTCTCAAGCCAGATTCAGAAGTCTCACAATCTCGAAGTCAACAAGCTGTGCCTAGAGGGTATGAAGCTCGCCACTCAAATTGCCTGCCTCTTTGATCTGTCCACACCCAGAGAGGCTTTCATGTCGGCCTTGAAAAACACAACGAACTTGAACAACCCACAGGAAATGTTGGCCAAGAATATTGAGGCACTCAAGGTCGTTCTCGAGCTGGGACAGACTGAGGGCAACGTTCTTCGTGAGTCATGGAAGGACATCTTGATGTGTATCAGTCAACTCGATCGACTTCAACTCATCTCGGGTGGAGTCGACGAGAGTGCTGTGCCTGATGTGTCCAAAGCTCGCTTTCTGCCACCACAAAGATCAGAGACCTCTGATTCTCGATCTTCCTCAAATTCCAAGAAAACAACGCGGGCCAGAGCAGGAACTGCATCTAAGGGCTTCTCCACCGAGATTGCCCTAGAGAGTCGGTCAGATGAGGTGATTCGCAGCGTCGACCGCATCTTCACCAATACAGCAACTCTTACCGGCGAGTCCATGGTTTACTTTGCCAGGGCTTTGACAGAAGTCAGTTGGGATGAGATCAAGGTGTCTGGTTCCAACGACTCACCTCGTACATACAGCTTGCAAAAGATTGTCGAAATCAGCTATTACAACATGAACCGTGTAAGATTCGAATGGAGCAACATTTGGGAAGTTTTTGGTGAGCACTTCAACCGTGTTGGATGCCACAATAACATGAACATTGTGTTCTTCGCTCTCGATTCTCTACGTCAGCTGTCAATGCGATTTATGGAGATTGAAGAACTGGCTGGTTTCAAGTTCCAGAAAGATTTCCTGAAGCCTTTTGAGCATGTCCTTGCCAACTCACATAATGTGACTGTCAAAGATATGGTTCTCAGATGTCTGATACAAATGATCCAGGCCCGTGGAGATAATATCCGATCAGGTTGGAGGACCATGTTTGGTGTTTTCACAGTTGCTGCTCGTGATCCTCACGAGAGCATTGTCAATCTGGCCTACGAAAACGTCAACCAGGTGTACAAGACCAAGTTTGGAGTCGTTATTTCCCAGGGCGCCTTCACTGATCTGATCGTATGCTTGACGGAGTTCTCCAAGAACCTCAAGTTTCAGAAGAAGAGCTTGGCAGCGTTGGAACTATTGAAATCTCTGATTCCTACTATGCTCAAGACACCCGAATGTCCATTGTCGCAAAAATACAACAATATCCCACCTCCAGATGGAGCCATGCAGAATTCTGAAAAGCGATCCCGATCAAACACATCTGTTGAGGAGGGTTACTGGTTCCCCGTTCTCTTCGCCTTCCATGACGTTCTCATGACTGGAGAAGACTTGGAGGTCCGATCAAACGCTTTGGAGTATTTCTTCGAGACTCTGCTCAAGTACGGTGGCACTTTCCCATCAGAGTTCTGGGATATCCTGTGGCGTCAACAACTCTATCCTATTTTCATGGTGTTGAGGTCTCGGCCAGAGATGTCTAACGTCCTCAGCCACGAGGAATTGTCAGTATGGCTATCGACCACTATGATTCAGGCTTTGCGGAACATGATCACTCTCTTCACACATTACTTCGATGCCCTGGAATACATGTTGGACAGATTCCTGGAGCTTCTGGCGCTTTGTATCTGTCAGGAGAATGACACAATTTCGCGAATCGGAAGCAATTGCCTTCAACAGCTAATCCTCAAGAATGTGACCAAGTTCAAGCCCGAACATTGGAATAAGCTTGTTGGTGCTTTCGTTGAGCTCTTTGAGCGAACTACCGCGTACCAACTCTTCACTGCCACTGCAATCAACAACACGGCTTCCATATCACCGCCACCAAATGGCCTTGAGTTCTCGTCAACTGCCTCGGGAACCACGCCTATGGATGAGACATCTCTCAAAATTAATGGCAAAGAGGAGTTGGAAGATGATCACACTGTTCCACCCCCGTCAGCTGAAGATGAGCTCCAGACACCAACGGCTGACGCCCCCCACATCGCCCTTGAAGAGTTTAAACCATCTTCCAACCTTCAGCAACAACCTGTAGTAGTTACAGCGGCTCGAAGACGATTTTTCAACCGAATAATCTCTCGTTGTGTCTTGCAGCTCTTGATGATCGAGACGGTCAATGAGTTGTTCAGCAACGACACTGTCTACGCACATATTCCCTCCGCAGAGCTTCTTCGACTCATGTCTTTACTTAAGCGGTCTTTCCAGTTTGCCCGCCGCTTTAACGAGGACAAGGAATTGCGCATGCGACTCTGGCGTGAGGGTTTCATGAAGCAGCCTCCCAACCTTCTGAAGCAGGAGAGTGGCTCGGCAGCCACTTACATCTCTATCCTGTTCCGTATGTTTGCGGACAATGCACCTGAGCGACTGGAGAGCCGGCCTGCTGTGGAGGACGCGTTAGTGCCCCTCTGCAAGGATATTGTTCACGGCTACACTGCTCTTGAAGAGGAGAGCCAGCATCGCAATATCGTTGCATGGCGGCCCGTTGTTGTCGATGTTCTAGAAGGCTTTGTCACATTCCCTGAGGATGCGTTCAAGAAACACATCCCCGATTTCTATCCTCTTGCGGTTGAACTTCTCACCAAGGACCTTACCGCAGACTTACGATCGTCACTCCTTCTGGTCCTGCGACGAGTTGGAGAGGTTGGCCTGGGTATCGAGGGCATGACACAAGCGGGACAACGGCGAGACAGCGAAGCCAGCAGAGCTACGGCAGAACCGGTCGGCGACCGAGAGGCGGACGCAAGGAGAATGCTTTAGGATGGGCGTCTTCCACGGTTGTTGACGGTGAGGAGAAGCAGGGCGTTGGATGGATTATCAGAGAATGTTGGTTTTCATGACGTTGTTCTAGATACCCCAGGCTATCCCATACGGCGATAGGCTGGCCTGGGAATTTGTATTATGAATTGTATCGGGATGTGATAATATACATGTATATATTCATATACATCCCATCAGTGCTGGTCTTTATTTGATTGTGGGCGTAGCCCGTGATGTTTCATTGCCCACTCCTGCATGGCATCTCTCCTAAAAGTATGAGGAGATAAAAATTTGACATCTTTTTTATTGATATGCTGATTTAAAGCACTTGGGTAGAACAACTGGCCTCGCCTTAGTTCCATGTCCTTTCTTTCTTCGTTCCTAAACTCCGTCGAGATCATATGCGCCTAGTCGAGGATTCGACTGATGTACCTAGCCAATGGTTCTGCCTCCTCCTGTATGGTCCGATCTGGAAGCGTTCTCAACGCCTGCTTGAGTTCCTGATCTTGTGAAGTCGCCGTCTTGACAACATTTCGCACAATAGCATCCTTGTCCGCCGAGTCTCCTGCAATTCTCATGATGCTCACGAATGACTCGTAAAAAACGATGAGAGTTTGATGCATGAGCACGTCGCTTGTGTCCACCATGCTCAGCGCTGCCCATTGAAGTAGTCCATGCCCGATGGACTCATCGGCGTACTCAGGAAGAGGGAACAGGTCTGGGAATGGGGATATGGCCATGGCGCGGGGGTGAAGAGCTGTAAGACGGGGAATGAGTCGAAGAAGGCGATCTTGGGCAAAGGTTGCTTGACGGTTGATGATCGCAGGACGGCATAGTGAGACAATGAGTTCGAGGTAATGGCGATCCCAGATGACTAGACGCCAGAGACTGGCGTGGCCAGGAATACGGCGCTTGATGAGCTGTGTTTCGGCTGGGCTGGCACCATTCACGCCGTTCGACATGGTCGTGTCAGGAATGATGTCGCAATCTGTCTCTAGCAAACTGCCCAGTACTCTGGTAGATCGCCCACCGACATCTGCATCCGGAGAGCTCAGCCATATCCGAAGGAGCTCCTCGACGACCTCGGGCAACGAAGCCAGGGAAGCAACCTCTGCAGGACTGCTGGCGGCCTTCTGAATGATGTTGAGAGCGAGTAAATTTGCGCCAGGAAGCGGTGATTTGAGAGCAGAAACAAGAGATTCGGCACCGCCGAGTGATAGGCACTGAGTAAAAGAGAAGGGAGAAAGAAGCTTGGTGGTCAGGGAGAAGACGACGCTGAGGCTTGTAGGATCTTGAGTGGTGGTCTTTAGGAGAGACATGAGCGGAGGGAGTAGAGTTGGCTGAATGATAGGGATGTTTGAAGCTGTAGTCAGTCAGCGCCTAGAATTCCTCAGTGGTTGATGATTATTTACGTGTGAGTTGGAGCTCAACATCGTCAAAGAGCTTGTTGTTCAGTGGTGCCGATTCATTTCCTGGCTCATGAAGTTCAGTGAGATGGGAGAGTAATTCTGCCAGGCCAGTGACAGGAGCGCCGTCGCTATTCTGGGGCACGACTCTCTCAGACATGTTTTCTTTATATGATGTCGATGAATACACAAGGAGGTTCGCAAGGTGTGGATTGTGGTTGTAGCTAATGTCCGTGTAGATGATTGCAGTGGATGTAAGCTGCAAGTTCACGGAGGGGTACGTAGTCTAGGGAGCCTGAAGGGAACACCACGTAACATATCGACCGTTGAGAGATGCATCTAGAATTTCTGTGACTGCAAATTTAGGTACAAGCATTCAATGTACTGAAAATTCAGTTATTTTTCCATCCTCTAACATTGATGCTTCTGTAGAATTAAATGCAGTCATACTCGTCAACTACAACGCCCGCTCAGCGGGGCATCGTCATGGCGGAGTAAATTCCGCCCTGTCTTTGTTCTGTCCGGCGCATTCAGAACTTACCATGGTACACCCCGCAAAAAATCATTCTGCATCAAACCTCGATCGCGAATAGTAACGTCAGCTCTATAGCTACAATCACAATCAGCCTTACTCGACCCGCCATATAAATATCCCCTCAGTCTTCGAATTGGCTCTAAAACCACGATAGAACCACCACATTCGACGCGCGCGCTCCAATGTCTCGAGGTGGTCGAGGAGGTGGCCGTGGTGGACGCGGCGGCGGCAGAGGTGGAAGGCCTAATGTGCCCTGGGACACAGGCGATGAACCTGATGCGCGACCATCTGAGCTATTTCCCGTATGTTCTTGTCTTCTGTGCTCTATCTAAAAGCGCAAGAAGAATTGTGACTCAGAGTGACACATCGCTGACTTACAAATAGCCATACCTCGTCCCTACTCCACGAGAACTCGCCTCGCACGAAAAAGCAGCCGTACAACACTATCTTCTACTACGGCATCAAGTCCACGCCTCTCCTCTATACACATCCAAGCGCACAGCTCTCAATGATCCAACAGCACCCCGCAAACACTACGGCCAGGCACAGAAGAATGCCCGCTTCGGCATCAAGAGCAAGGCCTCTTTAGACCCCTTTACCGCCGTGCCTACCTACTCCCATAAGTTCGTTCGCGAGGAACGTGCTCTTCCAGATTGGTCCAACCGCCCAGTATGTCGCGAGCTCTTCCCCATGGAACTCTACGAAACCATCGACGCTGCATCTGCCAACGACGGTGGCCTTCCAGGCGGTTTCAAGCGCCGGAAGTTGGAGCTCAGCAGCGTTAGCGCACTTCCTAGTGCAGAGGAAGCTTTTGGCATGGGAGGCGATGGTGAAGATGAGATGCAGGGCCGCAATCTCCTTGAACGGTTACAGGCGCTCAAGGAAGAAGAGGGCGACGAAGCAGGCGATCTTGAGGACGAAGAAGGCATGGAAGAGGAAGAGCAGGATGAAGTTTACGACGACGAAGACGCGGGTGATTATGACGCTGAGAATTACTTTGACGGTGGTGACGAGTTTGACGACTATGGCGATGATGGCGGCGATGGAGAAGGGACTTACTAGTTGGTCACTGAGTGTTTTCATAAGGATAACAAAAAAGAGTATTTTGGAGAAGGCGCAGCGATCATTTGTATATATATATATATATATCACGGCACACCATTGGTTTGATACCCAAGCCCGCCATCTTCGTGGTCGTGGCAGATAATGAACTTGACAGATTTGGATCAACCTCGCGATGTTGGTCTTGTATCCCAGTGAAGCTCAAACCATGAGATTTTTGGGTATTGTCAGATGTTCTTTAACCCCCCTCCCCGATTCTCAACAGTGTTAGCAGCTTTTTCTTTTGTCAAGTAATATTCATACATGTCGTAAGGTTGTATCCTCACTAAATCTCCTGCTACAGTTGACAACACCGTATCCTACGCGTCGCCCAAATAATGCTTCTTTGGCCCTTTGTCTTCAAACATGAAATGGACTCTTGCAATGTCCAACAGATTGATATTACCGCAGCGCGTCCCTCTCCTTATCGTTTATGCCGTCGTCTTCTACGCATTCATGCCCATAGCGTAAACTCCACTGTCCACAATCCCGGCCTGGAGGCGCGATAGCCTTTCTCGAGTGTCGGCAATCTGTCCAGCCTGGGCAACAATCGCGCTTCCCGTATCCCTGAGCGCCAATAAAACCTCGTTCAGTTGATCCTGGACGACTACGCTGCCTGCGCTACGGTCGCGTAGTGCTCGAATTTGCTCATAAAGGCCATTCTCAACACCAGGCATATCTCGCTCAATATCACCGCGGTACTCATCGAGGCGAGCCTTGTACTTTTCAATATCGTCACAAATACGGTTGAAGTAGGTGATCAGATCTTGGGCGTCTGCATGTGTCGACGCAGCATCTGCGCCCCCGGAATCAGCAGCTGGAGCCTGACTGGCGAAAAGACCTGTTTGGTGATAGTGTGTCGGGAGTTTAAGGTTGTCGGCGCCTCGGAAGCATAGTCGGGCATCAGCGGCGTTCTTTCGGGTTTGATCCTGGAGAGCTTTGACGGTCTGGATATCGTTGTTGAGGGCAACTTGAACCGTTCGGAACTTTGACTCGACAAACTTTACGTCTAAGCCCAGTTGCTCAATATCCTTCTCGTGCTGGGGCATGAACTCGCCAATCTCGTCTCGCATCTTGATAACTCGTTGGATGCCCAGGTCCAGCAACGCAATTTCATCTTGTACGGGCTTAGCGAGGTCATCGAAGCGGGTACGTGGGCGGATGCTGTCGTAGTTGATTTGAACGGCCGAGACTTGGTTTGTGGATTGACCTAGGGTGTTGTTCTGCTGAGGCTGTGTTTGACCACTGCTGAAAATTAGTGACTGTCATGACAAGGAGCTCCAAGTAACTTACAACAGAGTAGTACCTGTAGCGGGCTTTGCTTGAGATTGACCGAAAAGCCCTCCTGTGTTGCTCTGTGTATTTGTTGCTGTAGATTGGCCGAACAGACCTGTGCCTGTTTGTTGAGGCTGCTGAGTTTGATTTTGGGTAGATTGCCCGAAGAGGCTGGTGCCGGTTGTTGTAGGTTGCGCAGTGTTTCCTAAATTTACCCAGTGAGCTCCTGAGATTTGTGGCTTCTGACCAAACAGACCAGTTCCAGTCTGCTGCTGACCTTGTTGTTGGGTGTTGTTGGTGGCAGTGTTGCCAAAGAGCCCAGTACCTGTGCCCTGCGTCTGTTGAGTGTTTGTTGCGCCGGCAGCGCCAAAGAGACCACCGCCAGCTGCGGGCGTAGTTGCTGTCGCTGTCGTCGACTGTCCAAACAGATTGCCTGTTGCAGGCTTTTGCGCAGCGTTGCCAAAGAGAGACATGGTGCCTGTTGCGCCTGGCGCTGTTGTTGTGTTGGCGGTGGGCGTAGAGGTGGTAGAAGAACCGAAGAGACTACCAGCAGCAGAGGGCTTAGAAGCGGCAGTTCCGCTGTAGAATGGAGTGCGCCGGTTAGCAAGAAGAGGTCGACGAGGTTGCAGGCGAGATGAAGGTAACGGGCTGAGTGAGGTTGGGTTGTGTGGATATGATGGTGAATGATTGTTTTGTTAGAGTGTGGAGCTTACAAGGCGTTAGCAGCACCAGTGTTGATGCTTAAACCACCTGCTGGGCCGCTTGCTGAACGGATCAATGACATACTAAGGGCGAAAATAAAGCCCTTTGATTGAATGCGACAGTGGCTACAAAGTTAATTTCACGCGATCTGCCCGTGTTTTGACGCCGCGACACGACAAAAAAGTCTCCAAGCTTCTTGGAGAAGATGGCGCTTGGACCATTTTGGCCGTCGGTGAGGCTCGGTGAGTGCGCCTGGAGCTGCGGTGAGTTGAGTTCCGGAGAAATGCGGCGCCGAGCGACCAATAGCTGCTTTATTGTGAGAGCTTGAGCTTGACGTCTACATATCAACTCTCGATATTGAGCAATTCTAGTCGCAACTACTTAATTTTACACTTGCCAACTTCTTATTGCCAGAATCGCAAACATGGATATCGACGATGATGATGATTTTTATGTGCCAGATGAGCCAAAGACCGAGACCGCAGCTCCAGAGGATAAGAAGCCAAAAGCAGATGATTTAGAAGAAGGCGAAGAAGAGGATGAGGGTGCCGCTATGGATGAGGACGATGACTCTGATGAGGATGACTCGGTATGCGATCTGCGACACGTCTAATAGACACCAACTGACAAAACTTCTAGGACATCGACATCATCACAGAGCGCAAAGATGGCACAAAACCAGCTCCACCACAGTACGCAATACCTTCATGCGCCGGTTCTTGACGTTACTAACCGGCTTTTCCAATTCCAGACAGTCCAAATATAGTGATATTCGAAATATCCCCCAAAGAACAGCTTCAAGTGATGTACCAACACAACCTGCGCCAGCACGGAAGGACTCTGAATCACGACCATCGGTTAACGTTGCTGCGCCAAGCGCCGACAAGACTTCTGCTGCGGCATCTAAATCAATGATCGATGTGAACGCAAACCCGATTCATCCTGGGACGGGGAAGCCTATCACCCAGGTCAACATTGATGAAGGTTAATAACACTACCGATTGTTGTCGCGCAAATACTAACATGAGTAATTCAAGACCTACCAGACAGTGACAAGCCATGGCGGAAACCTGGTACCGATATCAGCGACTACTTCAACTACGGCTTCGATGAGTTCACATGGGCGCTTTACGCTTCCAAGCAAGAGACCGTTCGAGGAGAATTTGGAGCTGATGTCTTTGCCCAGAACAATAAGAAGATGATGGAAGACTTCAACATGATGATGATGGGCGGTATGGGTATGCCAGGAGGAGGCAACTCGGGTGCTCAGCAAGGGGGGATGCCTGGCGGAATGGACGGTATGCCTCCTGAAATGCAAGCCATGATGCAGCAGATGATGGCTTCAGGTATGGACCCAAGCCAAATGGACCCCAGTCAGATGAACGCCATGTTCTCGGGTATGCAAAATGCTGGAGGAGCGGGTGCACAAGGCGCACAGGGTGGCCAAGGGGGTAACTTTGGTGGTGGTTTCGGTGGCAACCAAGGTGGTTTTGGATATGATCAAAATATGTCTGGGGGCGGAGGCGGAGGCCGGGGAGGATTTGGGGGTCGCGGACGTCGTGGAAGATGGTAGTTGGCTCCTCTCTGAAGCCACCCCTCTGAATTTCCACAGACCAAAACTGATGGGCTTTGTCAATTTGTTAATGGGAGGACCTGGCGTTGGGGCATATTGCCGATAGGCATGGGACCATGATAGATTGGCTCTCTTCACGAGCTACTCAGAAGGACGAGTAACCATTTGAGTGCAGGCTTGAATACACTTCTTGACCTTGTCTCTGTATGTGCAGATTATACCCAAATAACTAGTTAAGCTTCACTTCAACAATCTTCGCTGGCTCTGTCTTTCCATCCACAGGCACTGCATTTGCTCCAGAAGTCGAAACGTACAGAACTCCCTCATCCTCACCAAACACGCATGCTGTTGAGCCTGCAACATCGAACGCCTTTGCTTCGCCTGCCACTACCGCAGCCTCTCCACCAGTAGCGGGGATTCGTACCACCGTGTTGGATATGTTGGTGCACACGTACATGGTACCATCGCGAGCTAGAGCGAAATCATCCGCGACAAGCCCTGGCGCAAGCGTTTCAACGGAACCTGCAGCCTGGACTTCTTGCGTAACGGGTACACGGTATACACAGAAACGGCTTGTCGTTGTGTAATAGACGTAAGTTTGCTCTGAGAAACGATAGACTTTGATACCATTAAGGCCAACTTGGAAAGGGGCTTCAGCTGGAATTGTAAAGGTGTTGTCTTCCAAGGTAACGTTGTATGATCCTGTAGCAACACTGAGCTTGTATACTTTGCCATAGAGGCAATCTGTGACGAGCGCAGTGTTTTCATCCCATGTAGCTATGCCGTTGACCATGCCAATCTCAGGCATATCAGCTATCTTGGCCACCTTTGCCTGTTCACCAGCAAGATCTGCGAGCCAAATACTCCATGATCCAGGTTTAGGTTTGGCACCTCCGATCATGTCAAATGAGCCTGCAGCTACCGCGAAGACATCAGGTTTGAGACAACAGATGCCAGTGAGTGCCGGGTTCGGGACGTCATCTGGAAGGGGGATGCGTAGGATCTTGGAGCCAGTTGATTTCTCCGGATCAATCTCCCAGACCTCGGGGATATCGAGGCGAGTTGCCAAGATAGTTCCGCCGGATCTGAGAGTGATGTTCTCAAACCACGTTGGCTGGGAGTCGAGTTGGAAAATAGTTCGAGTATTGGACATATTTTCAGTGTTATGTTGTGAACAGCTTCTCGAAGGTTTGGCTCGTTCAGCCTGTCGTATCTTTTAATACTGAATTGCTGCGCGTAACTGTTGCCTTTACTTATCCACTGGGTAAGCAGGTTGCCACATCTCTTATTACACAGTCAGCCCAAGTAAGACCTACGCATGAGATAAAGGACTGATCACCAATAACAGATATTGATAAACCAATAAGAGGATTGATTCCTCCAGGAGTCAACATAGCTTCCATAGCAATAATACCGGCTTTCGTTTAAAGAGCAGAGGGGTATTCCATACAGGATGAAGATATGATATCAGCCTTGACGAAGCCATGACAATGGGGCAAGGGTTTCTGGTTTTTCCCAGGGTCTATATTTACAATTAATTGTTATTTATTATCCTGTTAAATATTTTTCAGGGAATCTCGAGTTGCGATGCTCCGGATGACGAGAATCTGACACAAAATGAACCCGGGGAGAATTGACAAGTCCTCGTTGCTGACCCAAATCATTGCTATGGCTGCTGTTAATTCAATTCAAAGAATATCTCATTGCCCGGCACATAGGTACTGATACTCGGCTCAATCAACACATCACTTGTCCTGATTAGATTATCACAATTCATTCTACATCTCAGCACATCAGGATAGGGCTCACAGCGAGCAATCCTCTTCTATTTGACCTATTCGAATCTCAGTCTCTGAGTGAATCTGAAGTTCTGCTCACACCAAGCTTCAAGTTCCTTCCCATCAAAGCGAGCTGAACCAGCCTTGTACACCACATCTCCATCGTTAAAGATACAGACATAAGACTTTCCATCAGCCACGTTCAATGCCAGTGCATTGATAGAGACCTCTTGATCCTGTTTCTGACGTAAAATCGGCCCCAAGTTGGCATATTGACCCTTGAGGTCGAATCTGAAGCGAGAGTCCCGATACTGCGCAACCCAAGCGTCACCAACACCAAGCCATAGACTATCTACAGCAGATCGAACCGCGTCAGATGTGACCTGTAGGCCTTGTCGAACTATCTCATGAGGAAGCTCCCACTTCTCGGTTCCGTCGTCTACACGAGTGTAGAAAGTCTTGTTAGGACCGAGATATAGAAATGATGGGCGTTCAACATCATGTTCTGTGTAAAGATCTGCGATCTCCCCATAATCCTCAAGCTCAGAACAGTCTGTCCTTGGTGGTCAGTCAATTCAGTTACAACAAAAGGAATACCACTTGCTTCTTGCGGCAATACTCCCCCGAGTATAACGAAGACACTGGAAGAAGTGTGGATCGGGACCAAGAATGATGTATGCAGACTTGTCGGACCCCGTTCGATGATCAAAGTCAAGCTTTGGTTGATTTGCCATCCCTCTATGAACTCGACTTCCTCACATGTCAGCAGCAATGATACTACCAGTCTGTTGACTCACCCGTAACTTCTCGCTGGGCCACTGAAGAAGTAGCTCTCTCCTGCGAGGCTTACGGTGGCAGTTTCATGCGAGAAGTCTTCTCGCTGCGTTGGTCGACCGATAGAGGTACCGGGAATAGCATGGCTCCCGGACATCTTGTAAAGTTGTTGTGCAATAAATAAGTTGCAAATCGACTGGAATATCATGGAGGAACAGCCAGTATTTATAGACTTGACGTGGCGGAGGTACCGGTAAATATGTTTCCGCGGTTGATTGCTGGCGCATACCACCTTTCGTGTTTCGTGAGGCTAGAGAATGGCTTTGCTACAGTTACAATGGTACTGAAAGCGGATTGTCAGACTCAAACGAGTTGTGAAAGGACCGACTGTGTCTGAATAGGGGCATATCGTGGAAGTTTTATTCTTAGCGAGATCTCATGTTTGCTGAATGCAATTCCACGCCATACTCCTTTGACATTGCAAACATTTCCGAAACTGGTCTGACCGGTCTTTGTGATGTAATTGTATTTGATTATTTCTGTAGTAAGGAAGAATCGGCTTCCAATGGGTATCAATGCAAACTCGCCGCTAAACGCTGGGCATTTGTAACACGTAGTTGTGCTCAAACTACCACCTGGCCACCCAACCTATTTTCGTTATCATAACGAGACGTTTCCAAAGGTCTGCACTAGCTACAATCTCCAGACGATTCCACGCCTCCATGTGTATACAGCCAACAAACATGAAGTTTTGGTCATATCCTCAACCAAACATTACCAATCTTGTGGCTTAGGTAGGCATAAACTTCTGTGAATCCTTCTCTTGCTGGGCAAATGATTGCGAAAAAGCTGCCAAACCAGCAACAATGCCAGCTGCCATGAAAAGGACCGAAATAATACCCCAGATGACACCCCAGCACTGCGATGAGCCGCCATATCGCTTTGCGAAAACACTCGCGTCGGACTCGTTGACTTTGCGCAGGATCAGATCGTCGCAAATATCCCACACGCTGTACAACGAAGACATGACGCCAATGAATAGGACGACGAAGCGCAGCGCTTGGGCGTGTTCGATGAACCAGCAAGCGATGAGGAGTCCAACCGCGAGAAGAACAGTCGCAATGGTAAGCCAATCACGTTTTCCCCACCAGAGCGTTAGTAGGAAGCAAACGCCGAGCACGATACTGGCGACTTTGCTGGCGACGATGTTGAAACCGCAGAAGATGAGTAGTGCGCCGATGATGGAAGAGCCGAGATAGCCAGCGGGTAGTGTCAGGCCTTGTCTGCCGCCTATGAAACGTGTCACGCCGCCTTCGTTGGGATCAAGAGTGATTGATTTGACATGGCCACCTGTGAGGAGAGCAGTAAAGGCGTGGCCAAACTCGTGAAAGGCGATGACCAGCATCTGCACATGTTAGTAATTGAATCGGTGACTGTTTGATGCCAAGGGACATACCTTAAAGGGCCAGAGGATCATGCGGACGTAAGGAACGTTCCATAGGATAGCGATAACCACAACATAGACGCCGATGATGCCCAATGTGACTTGCTGTGTGTGAGTTGGGTTCTGGAGATCGCGTCTGGTCAGGGTGTTGATGGTGTTTTCAGCTGTATATTCCAAAGCCAGCGACGAAGGATCCGGGTGCGGAGCCATGGTGAATTCTTTGACTGTTTGAGAGAATCTCTATCGAATTGGGGTTTACGGGTGAGGACCTATTGGATAGTGGAGGTGGATGGCCGTTATTGTTTACTCGAATCGCAAAGTCAATAAACGAGAGAGATGACTTTGAAGCAATGAAAAACGAATAGAGTCAGGTTGTGATTGTTAAAAGACGGATTTTTAATTGAGCCAAGTTCCCCTCCATCGATTGACATTTGGCAGTGGGCGCCTCGTAAGCCGCCGCTTCACGACTTCTCTTGGCTTGAATTCAATTCCTTGGTGTTGACGCGGCATTCCGGGGCGGAGCTGAAACAGCGCCTCGCTCTAGAATGTGGCTGGAAATGACCGCCATTGGTTGGTATTAATAGGGGACGGGGTTGCTAGGGAACACCCTGGAGATACTCCATTAAAACTTTGACGTGACTACGTCATCTGCCTTTGAAGAGGCACACGACCTTGAATAAAGATGATCAAGGGTCCTTCCAAAAGTCGGCAATTAACGTTTGTTTATTCGGAGACAATGGACCCCTGTTTCTGTTTTCTTTCTACCGTTTATTCTAGACTAGACCCGAGTCACGCTACAAAAAATGCTATAAGAAAAATGCCATTCAACTTGGTGATATCTTCCTGAGCATCAGGTATATCCAATTATCTCAGTCATGGGAGACCGCTGCTTCTTTGACGCGCGCTTCATGATACGCATAGGTACACAGCACAGTAGCCGGTTATTAATTTCCTCCTGGCGGTATTATTCTCGAGGAGTTTTATACAATAGTGATAGCCATCATGACAATAGCGGCAAGCAGTGCCAGTCTCTTATTGACAACCTGCCCATTAAGCTAGCATCCATCTTTCTCACCAAAAAAACATCAACATGAAGCTTCCAACTCCTTCTAGGTCGCCCCATCTATCACTGCCAACAGTCCCAGTTCTGTGGGCCCAGATAACGAACCAACAACCAGGATTTGTGCAAAAAAACAGACATTGTCATGATACCGCAGAGCAAGGACCTTGCTGACCTCCATCGATACCTCAGCTAAGCGGCTCTGCTAAACAAAAAATACTACGTTAAAAGCCATGGCACCCGCACCACAGATCCCACCCATACCGACCTCACCAAGCATCTTCCAAACCACACACAGCGCCTTAGCCTTTATAATGGCCTCCGATTTCGAGAAACAGAGCTACTGGCACAAGCGCTTCTCGTCCGAAAAAGCCTTCGAATGGCTTCTTCCGTCGGCTGATTTCATGCCGTTGGTAAAGCCCGTTCTCGACCGGCTTGACCCGGCCACGGCCCGCATCCTCCACATCGGCTTCGGGACAAGCGACTTGCAGAATCATTTCCGGTCACGGGGCTTCCGCGATATTCTCAACGTCGACTATGAACCACTCGCTATTGATCGGGGTCGCGATCTCGAAGAGCAAGCTTTTGGAGATGTTCAAATGCGATATGATGTGCAAGACGCTACACAATTAGATCTGTGCGAGAAGTTTGATCTTATTGTTGACAAAAGTACGGTTGATGCAATTTCATGTGGTGGTGAGATGGCGCTGCGGCGGATGGCTGCTGGTATTAAGCGTTGTCTTGCGGATGGTGGCGTTTGGATCTCGTTCAGTTATTCAGCCTACCGATTTGACCTGGATGACTTTCCGTTTGACGTTGAGGTCCTTGCCAAAGTCTTGACTCAGAAAACGTTGCCGAATGATCCAGATATATACCACTGGTGTTATCTTCTTCGACCGAGAAGAGACACGGCTCCGGATTCGCCTATAAGTACGGACGACAACCCTGCGGGAGAAGGCTGAGACGATAGTGTGCCTGTCAAACGAAAAATGGCCGTATAATGCATTGCCCGGATGGAGTCCCATTGTATAAAATACTCAACTTCGACCTGATGATGCAGCAGCTGGATGGATACTTCGCTTTCGTCCTGAATTGGACAACCCGCAGTTCTTAGACTTTCTCCCTGGTAACTAGACATTACTAATAATGTAATTAAAACTTGACACTCTTTTACGAAATGCCTGCAACCTCTTTTATTAGAAAGGGTTGCTCGAACTTCACCCTCGCGAGGCTCGAGGGTAGCTATTCTCTGCTGGTTACATGGCCAGGCGACAGAATCCATGATGCCATGATAATCAAGAAAACATCATTTCTTCCGACTTTCTCTCTTGGTAAGCATGAAGAAGAATTAGGCTCCTAGATTGCACATGTGAAATTCTCTCGAGTGTTTACGCGTTTGGTCTTGTGTGGAATATTTGGATCTTGGCACCACTTCTAAGTTTTGTTATTCAGGTGTGCTGAAGTAAGGCATGTATGTCTATCGAATGCTATAAAGCCGCGAAGAAGTATTATTGAAACTAAATATGGATTTGTTTAACCTAAGGCTTTATTCTTCCTGGAATCGAAGATTTTGCTATACCTGGATCACTTCTGGGCAACATAACCAACCGCATGTGAGCTTAGATAAGACATGCTTGTAAGGCGGTTTAAACAACACAAAAGCGGTGACCGGATTAATGATTCCATCAGATACTCTTTCTAGAAGAGTTTCTTCAAGACAAGATCCAATCACCACTAGGTTCAAGGATATGCTCCAGATTGGGAAACCTTCTCAAACGTGCTCATTCCGTGCCAAGACCACAGGCATTCCCAGCCCAACGGTCTCAAGCATCATAAACGAGCCTATCAGGCCGTTGATGACAGACACTTACACTTCAAATAGCATGCATTTGTTAGCTAAAGAGCGGAATGGTGACCTTAAATCTGAGTTAATTTTATGCTTATCGCTACTACCTGCAGAAGCAGACACCACCAGCATGAACATTGTCGATCTTGAAAGAGATCGACATACTTCAGGTCAAGAGTCTAATCACTCTCAAGCATGCGAAAGAACTGTCCTTCCATGAAAGCTTGATTCATTCTGACTTTGTGGTTCTATAAGAGCTGAACCTTGGGCATCCTAGTTATCCCAGTCAGTTCAGAGAAACAAGACCCAGATCATTTATTCTCTTCCACTTTAGATTGAGCAAGATAGACCCCTAGCCAAGACAAAAACTTGCTCACCGTGGCGTGTTATCACCCCAGCTCACATCTACTCGCAAAGATTTAAAGATTGAATGCCCACCTCTGTGTACCTAGATTGTAGGATCACCTCCCAAAAACTATGGCTCAATCGAAGAGAGTGGCTCTACCAGCCCTCCTAACACTATGTGCCATTGGCGTCCAAGCCGATGGCATAGGCCTCATTGGCTGGGGGAAGACAATGTATAACCCAACATGCTCCTTCGCCTGTCGACAAGTTATCCGAAAACAACAACTCTCCTGTACTCCTACCGAGTCGACGGAGAACCATGGGACAGCGCATAATCCCGTCACGACACCGCCCGATTGTTTTGTGGAAGACCATATCTTTCTTAAGACTATGGCTCTTTGCATAGACACATACTGTCCGCTCGCAGGAAATCCTTCTATGAGTCTGATCGAAGACTATTGGGCATCGCATCTTGGAACAGGAACTATTGGAAAGTATGACTATGTTCCGGTCATGTCGTATGAAGATGCTTTGAGTGCGGCCAGGGAAGACGAATCGATGGCTTCCCATAGCGCAAATTCGACGTCTGGTCATAAGAGCGGTAGCCATCATAAGAAGAGAACTGTTCTTTTCCCGCGCCATGGTGGCCACGATACATCTTCTCACGAAGGCCTAGTAACCTTCAATGTGTCAAGTCCTTTGCCCGTCACCGCTGGCGGAACAGAGCCCCTCAACGAGACCAGCTTCATCGGCCCTGAGGACTGGCAACTCCAGTATAACTATCTCTATGACTTTGAGACCAACGAGGCTGGCCATACAACGATGACTATCACCATCACTCTAGTGGCCATCTGCCTCCCAGTTGTCCTCTCACTATTGAGATTCATACCCGGCCTGACTAAGAGCCGAGGATGGGCTTACTGGCAATCATTTCTGGTTGTCCCAGCGGCGTTTGGTAAGCGACATCGTGAGCCAACTATCGCTGGCAATGTTCCCAACAGTGGACAGGCACTCTACATCGCCTTAATCAGCATTCTCAACATCCTACTCTGGCTCGGACCATATACAGTCCATCAACCTCAGGCTAGCTTTGCCTCCCTCAAGATGCAGACGATCAGCGTCGTGGGCAACAGGGCAGGTGACATGGCAATGGGCAACGTTGTGGCTTTGTTCCTCTTTTCAGCTCGCAACAATATACTTCTCTATGTCACGGACTGGAGCCATAGTACATATCTCCTGCTGCATAGATGGCTTGGATACTGGGCTATCTTCCATACGATCGTTCACTCTGCCATGCTTCTTGCCAACTATGTCATCCAAGGCACATACAAAGAAGAGCTGGTACGTGAGTACTGGATTTGGGGTATTGTAGGAACAGTGGCAGTGTGTGCGATATTGCCCTGCTCCCTACAGCCAGTCAGGCAGAAGATGTACGAGTTCTTTCTCGGATCGCACATAATCTTAGCTCTTCTCTTCATTATTGGATACTACTACCATATCTGGTATCTTTATGGGTACAATTGGGGCTACGAGATCTTTGCATTCGTGGCTGGAGGTATTTGGGGTCTCGAACATGTCGTTCGACTAGTTCGCATGGCAAGGCAAGGTAATCGAAAGGCAACCATCTCGACCATTTCAGATGTTGACGGAGAGTACATCCGAATCGAGATTGATGGAAAGCCTCTGGAGGGTGGTGTTGCGTATCTTGCTTTCCCTACCCTTTCGTGGCGTTTCTGGGAGACTCACCCCTTTTCTGTCGCATATTCTGGCTCATTGACTAGTGAGAACAGCCGTCAGCCATCGACAACTGGTGCCAAAGAAGAGAGTGTGACAGTCTCACCTAGCTCTGAGACAGATGCTGAAAAGGCTGGTAATATCAACCAGAACACTTCAGTTGTTAGCGCAACTGAGGGGAGATCTACTGTCTTCTATGCTCGGGTCCGAACGGGCATGACCAAGAAACTCGCATCACGAGTATCTGGCCAGCATTCTGAAGCACTTCAACTTCGGGTGATCGTCGAAGGACCTTACCATCATTCCGGCCATATTTCACCTCAACTCTCACACTGCAAAGACATTTTGTGTATTGCCGGAGGTGTTGGCATCACAGCCTGTCTCCCATATCTTCGGCAAGGCGCTTCAGGCAATACAAAACTCTTCTGGTCAAGCCGCAAGAAAGGTCTTATCACAGCCCTAACACCGGCTCTTGCTGATCTGCCAAGGAGTGTACAGGTCGAAACCGTTGTGGGGGAGCGTTTGGGTCTTAGGGGCATCTTGACCCAAGAACTGATTGTAGCACCAGATGATGGTGCGCTGGCGATTGTCATGTGTGGGCCTCCCGGCATGGCTGATGAGGTGCGTAGAGACATTGTTGAGATTGTGAGGAGCAGCGCCTTATGCCGCGCCTATGTGCTCCTAGATGAAGCGTTTTCTTGGTAGTTTTGGTGGTGGTATGTCACTCAATTAAACAATCAAGATGACGATCTGCTCACTTCACGCGAGTTCTACACTACATTACCTAAATGATCTTGAATTAGAATTGTTCATCACTATAAGACTAGATGTCTTATGTAAATCGATCTTCATTTCATCATTTACCATTTTGCTAACATTAGGTCCAAGCTGGCGGGACTCAACTAGCCGTTACGAGAAACGCGGACCGAGCGGATATATCTACTTGAACTCTATTCAGAGACGTTCTCGTTTCAAGATGAACTTCTAGATCAAGCTAGATTATTTTGTGTCGCATTGACCTGTTTTGACGTAAACGTCAATTTCGGCATCGATAGTTACAAACCTTGAGTTGCACGTAGCATGTTCTATAAAAGTTCCTGAGACCATCACCGTAAGCTATCGATGGGTGAATCTCCCATGTGGGATATTCTCGTAATCAGCATCGTACACTCGACTGAAGAGGTCAGCATTTGCATTTGATTGGTTCTGTGGTCAGCAAGTTCACGTTGGAGATCACGAGTGCGGCGTTGACCCGAGCGAATAATTGACAAATACCAAGAGCTAGATATGCCAGGTTCAGGTCCGGGTCCAGAGGAAGAATTCTCACGTTTTACCCCTGGCAGCTGCATCCTTGACATCCGATGACTTGAAGCTTGGCCCTGCAAAGAAGGACAGTACTACATGAGGTAGGTGATCAAGTTTGACATGCGGTGGCGTTAACAGCGCTCTGGAACCTCCTGTATATGAGACCACCTGCCTAATGTGTATTTTTCTTTATCATAATTAGGTGCTCGTGGCGTTTGAATAGGCTATAAGGCTTGGGCCCGAGTGACCGAACAACCACATGGCATTAAAGTATGTTCTGAAGTGTGAGTGCATGACTTGACTTGACATGCAGATTGATTGATAGCTGAGGGAGCTGGTTAGAGTTCCCCGATAGCCGTTGGATCTACAATTACCCGACCATAAAAAGCAACAACAGAATTTTCTGATATATAAGATCTGTGTTATATGCCAACAGCTGTCAGAACGACAACCAATGATTCCAAGACCCAACGTAAAAAACGGACCGACCTCAACCAAACCTGTTGAGCCAGCTGCGAAACAAGTGCAGTTTCCAGTGCCCGTTGGTTCAAAGCCCTGGCCCTGCCCTGCTACTCGGCTGTGACATCCCGGGCTCTGATCGTTCAATGATAATCGACTCTTTGAGGTAAAAAGCCTCGGCTGCTCTGTGGATCTGCCCCGCCCGGAAGCCAAACCTCGAATAGCCTAAGGCCCTAAGACCCCTCCGGCCCCAGCGCTAGCCCCGGCAGCTTGGTCCAGAGGAGGTAACTGAATGTCAAAATCCGTGGGTTTCCCCCGAAGCCCGGACGCCATTTCCATTTCTTTAGTGCCTGTCTCTCACTGAGCCCTTGCTCTGGAGATATTTTTTTTCAAGCCGCTAAACTAGGGTCCCCTGGCTCTTGCATTCGACCACTGACGATGGTGTCTTCTAGCGCGAGCCCTCCCATTCCCTTCTGTAAGCCATTAGCCATCACCAGGAACCCGCCGTCACGCGAAGCCGCAGGCTCGCAAGCAAGGTACGGTATAATCCACTCTTGGGTCTTGGCTTGGGCTCTTGGGCTTAACGACGAGGATCTCAAGGGTGTCAAGTTGCCCTTTACGGTTCCATGCGTGGAGGCGGGTCGACGCGGAGGCGAACGGCGAACCGTCTTTGCTCTCAGCTCACTAGAGTAGTTATAATCATGCTCCCTCTTCTTCTGACACCCGCTGCCGCGGGCCTCTCTCTTCTTGATCGTCTTGTGCATCTGATTTCACGATACCAGTGACAGACAATATGCGCAATCCACCGCTGGAGGTGGTGGCCTCATGGCCCCCGCCAAACTATGACAACCCCGTTCATCGTGGGCCTACACTGCTCATTGTCGAGGTCACTATCATGTCTGTTGCCATTCTGACACTCATGGCCCGTTTGTACGTCCGCATATTCAAGGTGAACAAGCATGGACTCGATGACTGGCTGATGCTGGCTGCCATGGTAAATATTCCTCCCAACCTCGGCTGCATGTGCAACCCACGATGATCATCTCCAATGCTGACTTGTGGGACTTCCAGGTGTTTGGTATTGGTGTTACTGTCTGTGTCATTCTTGCAGCTCAGCTCTACGGCTGGAATATCCATGTCTGGGATCTCAAGAAGTCTCAGGCGGAAAATGGTCGAAAGGTTTCACTCGCTGCTCAGACACTCTTTCTATTTTCCTCGGGCCTGGCGAAGAACTCTATCCTCGTCTCGTATCTCCGTATTGCCCCGGCCAAATCTTGGCTTCGTCGTTTGACTTATGCCTCACTGATTCTTGTCACCTCGCTCATCTTCATTTTCCTTATTGTTCTTTGGACACAATGCAACCCAACCTCTGCATACTGGAAGCTGGACGGAGGTGACAGTTGCCGTCCTGAGGGACCTAGTGTACTGTAAGTCACTATCTCGAGTTATTCCTGATAATCACTAACTGTATGTCTTTTAGGAGCCAAGCCATCACCACTGTCATCACTGATCTCCTTGTCTGCGCCCTTCCTTTACAAACACTCTTCCACCTAAAACTGCCTTTCTCCCAACGAATGGCCCTCATTGTCGTCTTCTCTCTCGGCCTCGTCGTTGTCTTCGCGGCCTCCATGCGCGCATACTACACCCATTATGTTACCGATGAAACCTACGATGTCACCTGGCAGGGCTTCCACCTTTGGATCTGGACTGCCGTAGAGGCCAACCTTGGAGTCATCTGCGGCAGTGTACCAGCCCTTCGACCCCTATTCCGAAACATGTTTCGATCCAAGAGCAGCAGCTACTACAACAAGACGAACTCTCATGCCTACCCACCCGGCACAGCTCCAGGTGTTGTCACAGTCGTCACCGGCCCCAAGAAGAACTCCCGAAACTGGACCGATAGTTTACAACGAAACTCCAAGGGAGTCAGGATACAAGACGACCATATCGATATTGAAGGGGGATACAACGATGCTAGACGACAAAAGAGCTCAGATAGTGGAGCGTCGTCACTCGAGATGGACACGTGGCCACCGAGACCACAACCTAGGTCTTGGCCTACAAATTGACGAGGCATGATAATTTGACATATATTGGCGTTCTTGAAACTTGGGTGGGATTTGGATAAGCTTTACGAAGCAGGAATGGGCATCATGGGTAAAGGTCTAGGCACCAAAAAAGGATTCAAACAGAACTTTGCTATACTTAGCACGACATGATTAAAAATTTTTCGTTTTGCCCAATTATTGATCCCTATTGCAAAGCTGAACGACATCCTCATCTACCGTCGAGTGCATAGAAGACGGGTCTAGCCATAGCGAAAAAGGCAACTTCTGGAACTTGGCCGTATGCTTCTCTAGCCAATTGACATTTCACGACCACAGGAATTTTAATTAGCTGAAAGTCAAATTGCATGGGTAAAGCTTGATTGTATTAGACGTCAAGCCAAGAAATCGGAGATTTTGTCCATGTCGCAATGGAGTTAGGTGTCTTGTGAAGACAAGTATTTATTCCTGGCTATGCCCTCAACGTCAGCAACACGAGATCAAATCATTCAGTGCGATGGATGGGCAAATAGACACTTGGCATCATACGACATGTGAACCAAATAGTGACATCAAACTACTGACGTTTTGTACATGATCTCATGTTAAGCTCCGACCCGGCCTATTCCATTCATCCCCACCCCGTCCGCGCCGTGCCGTCCGGCTTCAGCTCCGGGTCCTACATATCTATTCTCAGCCAAGCATGACACAATGGGAATGAGCAGTGAGTATCAGCAGAGGAGCCAGAAAGGACGTATAGCTCCAGCTATGAGAGACTTTTAATAACAATGCATAATAAAATAATGCTTACATCATCTTGACACATAGGATTGATTATTGTTTGCATTGAGAGGCTGGCTCGCAAAGGATGAACCCCACTCCTCCGCAGCCGATCCCGCATCCCGCTCCGATGCAGGTGAGCTGAACTGAGCTTCCTTCCTTGAGACCGTCGTGTTTATGTAACATCATTTCTCTAAGGACTCCAGCTCTCCTCACTTTCATCTTTGAATTCTCACATCAACACCCCTAGATAAGCATCACCACCATGTCTCAGCCAGATCCCAAGCGTGTGAAAACTGATGACGATGCTCCCTATGAGCTCATCTACTGGCCAGTCATTCCCGGTCGCGGCGAATTCGTCCGCCTCGTGTTCGAAGAAGCTGGTGTTCCATACTCAGACGTTGCACAGCACATAGAGAAGGGCATGAACGCTGTCAAGAGTCTTACTTCCACAGACAACATTGGCGATGAGCATAACCCGCCTGCTCTAGCTCCGCCAGCTCTCAAGCACGGCGATCTTCTCATTTCTCAGACGCCCAACATTCTTCTATACGTCGCTCCGAGGGTTGGTCTAGCGCCCAAAGAAGGAAACGGTGTGTATCATCTCAATGAGATTGTTTTGACGATCCTGGATGGCCTTGTCAATGAACTCCATGATACTCATCATCCTATTGCCATTAGTCTCTATTATGAGGACCAGAAGGAGGAGTCCAAGAAAAAGTCCAAGTATTTCATCAAGGAGCGCCTCCCCAAGTATTTCAAGTACATGCAGCGAGTGCTTGATGCCAAAACCAGTGGTGAGGGGCCATGGCTATATGGCGACAGCTTGACCTATGCAGACCTCGTACTTTTTCAGGTGAGTGACATTTACACAGTGACCGTCAAGTTCTTCTTCAAGTTGCTGACCACCCACCAGGCTGTCGATGGTACCAAGTTTGCCTTCCCCAAGTCTACTGAGGCATTGAAGAAGTCTGGCGAATACGACGGCGTTTTCAAGTTATATGACGCTGTCAAGGAGAGGCCCAACATTAGCAAATATCTTAAGAGTGACAGGCGCAGGAAGTACTCCGAAGGAATCTGGCGATATTACCCTGAGTTGGAGGAGGAGTAGGCAAAAGTCAAGGATTTGCAAGTCTGACAGAAAAGCCACCCTGTCACATTCAAGTCGAAGAAGTTCAAAAATGTAACATGTTTTTGTTGCCTGACAAAGACTCCAGAATGCTCCATAGAATACCCAAGTTTCCATTCCATTTACCCAGCCCAAACCGTGTATTGTATGCCCCCCCTCCCATTTATAATGACTTCATAAATCATGACTGATGTCCATAATATCCTGTATCAATGCTGTCATGCCTGACTTGGATATTATCTTTCCTCCGCTGCGACACCGAAGGATCAACGCCCAGCGTATGATCATCCCACTCCACAGCAGGTCTCTTCTCACCCGTTCGCGTCGTCAGCTCTCCATACAAATATGTCCCTCCCAATTCTCGAATACGCTGCTTACGCTCATCCCCATCCATGTCCGCCATGCCACTAAAGTGATCTACCATGTTGCTCTCGCTCACGTAGTACATGGCTCCAGCGATGGAGCGAGGATCTACCGGCATATCAGGCCAGCGGACAATGAAGCTGAGTAGGATGGTAATTGCCATCAGAGCCAAAATTCCAACAGAAAGTCGTGCGCAGATATCGTGTGAGACGCGCACTTGTGATAGCGAGTAAGGGATGTTGGCGAGAAGAATGGGCATGAACTCAGAAAATATGGCCATTAGCGCAACTAGGCCAGGGAAGATTTGCCCATGCTTGAAGGCAGACCAGAAGCCTGAAAAAGGGTTGGTAGGTCTCGTGAGCAAAACCGAGTTGGATGCTGACTGAGGGCCATGCGACATGACCTGATATGGCACAACCATAGCGATAGCTGTATATAATTAGCCTTAGCTCGAAAGCAATATCTCGGGGAAACTTACTGATAAAGAAGGCTGTCCAGCTAAACGAGATAATAACTCCGAAAGCGGCAAACAAGAATCGAACACCAAAAGTCTGGCTATTCATGAAGTTCTTGAATGATGATGACTTGTCAAGTGTGAGGTGGTAGTAAAGCAGGAACACCATCAACCCAAGCAGGAACAGCAAAAACACCAAACGCCACGCGAGACCTAGCACGACGAATGGGTTTCTTCGCCCCCTACTGACTGCCTGTGCGTCCACAGAACTCGACTCTGATAGCGGATGATTATGCTGAAGGTTCTCCCCGGCGTCGTCGTAGAGAACAATGCCGTACTCAGTCTGGCCTGCACGGTTCTCAAAGAATCCAAAGCCGTATCGCTTCTCTGCCATCTCTTTTTCTATTCTTCGCTCAGAGTCTTGCTGCGGTCTGACATCTCTATTCGAGGCCAGCGATGCGACTCCTGCAACACTCCAAGGGTTTGCGTATACCCCAGTGTGGAACTTTCGAAGGAAGAATAGTAAACCGCATAGCAACAAGACCATTACCCCTAAAACTGCAAGGAGGATGCGTGACGATAATGATGAGACACCCAGGGCTGGAGCACAACCCTCATAAGCGTTGATCTTGCACTGGCCATGCATCTTGAAACCAATAGCCTCGACTGCCAGAGGTGTCAGAAGGGCGGAAAACAAAACGACAAGCATTGTGATGAATGGCACGGGATGACCATCGACAAGACCATTGAAAGGCTCTATAATTCCTGACCAACCGCCGAAGTGAAGGTTCATCGACTCTGGTCCCATAGCACCGTCGACTCTATTCAAGGCGTGGAAGGGCTGAAAGAGTTGGGCGTTGTAGTCAATGACTCGCGCAGGAATCGACAGCATAACTGCGAGAATGGGGGGAAGAAATTTTCCCAGGAAGTACTTTCCAGCATCGAGCTCATATACTGTAACCACAGTCTTGACTACTCCGCCAGTTGCTCCAGCTTCTGATGCATCATCGGTACCGGTGGGAGCGATTGTGGTGGTTTTTTCGTATGTTCTCGTCTTTCCTTTGATTGTTGAAATTATAGTCGATGAGTCTGTTCGTTCGGAGGTTACAGTCTTGAGTTTGTCGGCTGACTTGGTCGATATGATTGTCGTAGGTGAAGCAGACTTAGTAATTGTTGCCAACGATGCGGCTTTAGTTGAGACTACTTGGTTAGTCGTAAGCAGTCCATCAACTCCAGTCTCAACGATGTCAACTGTGGTCTCGAAAGCTTCGATCTCGCTGACAAATGTTTCGCCTTCCTGAGAAACAACTACCTCAACCGTCTCGATATCCTTGACCTTGGTGACATAGGTTGTCGGGTCCAGCTTCTCGACTTTCTTCACTGTGTGGTCGTCTTCGACAGTGACGACATCAATAACCGTGGGCTTCGCCTTTTCTGTCGGCTTGGGCTTGCCAATAGGCTTCTGGTCTGTGTAGACAGAAGTAATGGTGATTTTACCGTATGAGACGTAGGTACTAGCGGATGCTGTCGTCTCTCCCACACTCTCGTATTGAGTAGGAGCCGCCTCGGTGATTACATGCGACAGAGTATTTGTCTCGCCATCCTCTACGATAGTGGTGTAAATAGTCTCTGTCCTATCTCCCTCCAGAGTAGACGTATACGTGGTGACTGCACCAGGAAGCGAATAAGCCTGGGTAACCGTTATAGCTTCCGTGTAGCTGATAGTACCGGGGGCAGCAGAATCAGAGCCTGAGGGATAGACGACTGAGTAGCCCACACTGATACTTGTGAAAACGGATTTTGTTGCCTCTCCCGGCCTGGTGGTGACGACCTCGGTGATGACCTTTGTTGGGATCACAGTATAGTCTACGCTCGTCATGGTCGTGCCGTCCTTTACTGTCGTGGTAAGATCCCAGTGCGTACTGTACTCCGTGGTCTCGATCGTGGTGGTATATTTTCCTGTCGTGCCTGGTACAGTAACGACAGTAGACACGTCGCTCACGATGTAGGTCGTTGCGAGTCTTGTTTGCCTTGCTACTTCAGGGGTCATCGCTGTATCGTCTCGTGGGAAATTAGGGTTGCCATTGTGGCTTCTCTTGTGGATGATCTTTGCTGTTCCATCTGAGTTGGGCATTTCTATCAGTGCCCAGATGACCAGTCCCATGACAGCCATGAGAAGGGCTATCTGGCCGATGATAAAGTACCATCGTAAAGCTGTAGGGCGATAGAAGGTCCTTTTCCTGCCGGGGGGGAACTTCTCTGAACTGGCGTCCCAAGACACATCGTCTGTGGCTTGAGGCTCGTAGCGCGCGTTGACGCCAGCCTGGTGAGAGTACATGGCGATGGTGACTCTAGAACCCTCCTTTGGGACAAGTGAGGAGTGAATAAACTATTGTCGAGACATGGAGGAAACAAGTCACTATTTGCTGCGGAAATCAATCGAGAATGGATGAGAAGAACAGACAATATAGACTCCCACTTATCATCAAGGGCAGCCGAGCCTCAAGATATTATATGCATATCTAAAAACAGACCAACAAAACCTAGCACAGCCCAGTAGGACTCAAGGACCCCCCAATGATAATCGTTTACCGCTGCGAATATAAAACAGAGTGGCGCCCATCCAGGTATAGGGCTGAATCCGATAGCAGGGGTTAATCCTCTCTGGCCTTTGCCATTGGCCTAGCCTGAGACAAAGCTGCGAAGCTAAGGATCGAGAACAAGGATGCGGCTGAGGTGAGCAGAGGTGCCAAGCCAAGAATATCCACCAACTGCCGGAGGCAAGAAAACTTAGGACCTTTATCCTGAGTGATGAAAAGACTTAGGTAAGTTTAGTGTATTGTAGTAGATCTTTAGACCAGTTAATTTTAGCACCCTGTTTTACTGTCAGAAGTTTCATTACCTCCTGAGGGCATTGACAGGAACTTCAATGTCGCGAATAAGACCATCAAGGAACTTGTTGTCGTCGGCGAGGCTGCAAGGGTAATTGTACTCTAAGAATCGTTGTCAGAGTTGCCTTCATCATCCCCCACATTATCATGGCCGTACAAGATCACTACCATGAAGGAATTGTCATATGGAATCCTAAGACTATCAGCACTCGGCTTTCTTCTTGGTAAAGCGGTATTTTTTTTTTTTTTTTTGGCTTCTTCCGCATTGGAGATGCCCGCCTCTCTAACCCGTGTTTCTGAAGGAATGGCCAACTGCATCTTTAGCCAGGTGTATTCGTCTCTATACTGTGCATAGCAATTTGCTATACCCATCGCTCCATCGTAATCCGCCCATGACCGCGATCATCAATACTAAAGCCGTCACAACGCTGGCCGTGCCATAAATCCATGCACTTCGTCGCCTCAGAGTGCTAAGTTCAGCAACCCACGTTGAAATGGTCGTCAAACATCCACAGAAACCATCTTCCATGCCCTCCAGCACCTGGCAACCGATGACTCCACCAACCGGCACGTGTGCGAGATCCCACGACATGCCTAGGATCACAGTGCCAAATACATTGGCAGTGAATGTTCCGAGAGGAAATGTTTTCATCTTTCCGTTGAGGTACAGAGACAGGTAGAAGCGTAGTAGACAACCCAATGGTCCAAAGACCAGCGCGAAGAGGGCTTGACCACGCCAGGCATTATGTGGTGGGAATATGGCGAGGAGTACTGCACCAAGCCAGCAGCCCCAGCCAAGAAGCACGCCCAAGGGATCAAGCACCCGTCGACTCAACGAGAAGGGAATCGATGGCGTAACGCGCTCGAGGCCAATAGCCAGGTGGGCGCCTAGGAATAAGCCAGAAAGTGATAACGACACAGTGGTGATGATGACGGCCAGCATCGCCATGAAGGAATAGCCCCCATTGCGACTCGTCGGCGACTCTGACCACCCAGGCGTCTTCAGCTCATTAGACAAGGCCAAGAATACATCCTTGATGAAACTCGAAAAGGTCGTGAAACTCCCGCAGAAGCCCGTTGCCAATCCGATGTACAAGGGAATCGTCTTCTTGGTCGCAAGATGCGCTCGCTTCGCTGCGTCCAGATCTACATCCATCTGCTGACTTGAACCAGATCCATTGGCTTCATCTTTTTGCTTTTGTTTGGCCCGCTTGATGACTTCGTCGTAGGTCGGAGTTCCCCACTCGTTGCGGAAGAGTTTGCGATCCTCCGCCAGAAATCCCATAACAGCACTTCCACTAAAATTGGCCCATATCGTGTTGAAGATAACGGGAGTGCCGCTATAGCGCGTCAACGCAGTCAAGCCCAGACGCGCTAATACTCCAAGGATCGCGAATAGCACGAGATACGAATGCGTGTAAAGGCTTGTGAGCAATTCTGACGTCTTCTTCTGCGCTGCCTCTTGTGCTATAGGCTCTGGTTCGACGGCGGTATCAGAGCGGACAAAGTTGGCGTGTCCTCGCGGTTGGCCTTGGGTAGGACATGGCGAGAGCTCTTGTAGCGGAGGAATAGATTCTGTCTCATCGAGGTTGCTGTAGTCTTGTGGAACGTCGTATGTACCGGAATCGTATCGCTCTGCCCGCCTTGCCGATTGAGCTGTTGGTTTGGTGGTTTCGCCAGGGGTCTCCATTTGAATCGGTTGCTGAGTTATGTCGCCGAGCTCAGCATAGTCGTTTGGCGCATTGTACGCTCCAGAACTCGATTGTCGATTTTGAGCGGCCGATTCGCCAGCCATGGTTTGATTGTCGCGTTATCGTTGAGGTATTCGAACAGTCAGTCACTTCAAGTCAGAGATCGCAACGTGCTATGCCGACGCAGTTTGTGGTAACAAGACATTTTATTTGAATGGAAGAAGCTCTTGCTGTTGTTAAATTACGATGTCTAAGGTTTGATGGCATAGTTTGTGGCTAGATTCGTCGGATATGACGGCATTAAAGGAAAGAAACATCCCGAGCTCTGCCACAAAGGATGACTGGCGTTTTGATTTCATATTGTGGAGGCGTTTGCTGTGGAGTCTTTTGAGTTGAGAGGAGAGCCAGGGTATATATAAGAAAGAGATAACAAGACACGGGGTGATAGAGAAAACAGGATGATAGTTTGTATCTTGTCCAATAAGATTCAATTGATGCCCAAGAAAGTACTTACTAACAACAAACATGAATATCTGAATGTTGAGTCCTCACCGCGTTTCAATGTAGCTCCTATCACTGACAGCGGTGAGCTCCGTCTTATCTTATCGCACCCCGCCCTCCTCCGAGCATTCCCCTGTAGCTTAAGCTCTAACCCCGCCGACATACGCTACCGCCCGCCTCGACTATCATTCATTGTCCTTGTGATCTCTCTTGGAACGACGATTGGATTATCCAATCTCACGTAGTACCAACAAACTGATAAACAGCTACTGTACAGCTAGGCACAGGTACAGGTACAGTGCTCAACGTGTCTCCAAGTAAATACCTTACACTGCTTGCTCTCGCTCACATACAAAACCCCCTCCGTCTCCTTTTTCTTTCTGATTCTTTCTTTCTTCTCCTTCTTCTCTCTCCTTGGCTTCGTCCCAGCATCTCATCTTGTGATGCTTCATCGTCTCCTCGTAGATTCTTTACTTTTGTGAAATAATCTGTGCTTTCGTACTTGACTCATAATGTCTTCGTTGCCTTCAAACGTCCATGTCTCTCAGCACCCGTGTCTACGGGCAAAGCTGAGCCAGCTTCGCTCAAAGGCCAACAGCCCTAGAGAGGTCAAATCACTGATTCATGAGATCTCTCTGATTGTCTCTTGTGAAGCTCTTGCTTCGTCTTTGGAAGCTACGGAAGGGACTCAGGTATGACGCATGATGGGTACTTTCGAAGCTTCACTAACCATGAACAGGATGAGACGCCTTTGGGCTTCCAGTTCACTTCCACAACAGTGCAACCAAGTACCATGTGTCTGGTTCCCATTCTGCGATCAGGTCTTGGCATGGTTGACGGTTAGTCCAGCTGCCACTTCACTCATATTGCCTAAACTGACCACCCCAGCTGTGCAAACCATGCTCCCTATCCCAGTTCCAGTTCATCATCTGGGCATGTACCGTGAGCCGTCTACTCTCGACCCAGTCGAGTACTACAACAATCTTCCCCAGCAAATTCCAGGTGACTCCTCCAACAGCAACGCTAGTAGCCTTGCTATCTTGGTCGATCCTGTTATTGCAACCGGCGGGACCTGCGCCGCCGCCATCCAGACGCTTCGTGAATGGGGCGCAAAGAGAATCATTGTTCTCGCCGTTATTGGAGCTGACGAGGGTGTTCAGAGAGTCGCTGCCGAGTGGCCCGAGGGATGTGAGGTTTGGATTGCTGCAGTGGACAAAGAGTTGACCAAGGATGGTATGCTGAAGCCTGGTCTGGGAGATGTTGGTGACAGGTTGTTCTTAACCATCGGCAAATGAGTGCACATTTACAGGTTTTGGGCGTTGTATTCTCATTGCATTAACGTATAGGTTAGATAGTATACATCATAAGTACCCCCATATTCCTCAAGGAATTACAAACTGCTCCTCGTCAAGTAATGTGCTCTCGTTCCAGCACTCGTCAATCCATTTCCCTGTCACTAATCTTGGTTGCACGCGCCTTGAGCTCAGCTCTTTTCGTACCATATCAGCGGCCTCGCCCACTTGCATCGGGTCGTCGCCTTGGATCACCACATGTGTCACAGACAGATCATCGGTGTCATCTGTAACATTACCCCCGCCGTACTTGACAAGGTGCTTTAGCCTCGAAATCTTGTTGTCGCCAGCTTCCACGGCATGAAACAGCACCACACAACGTCGAAAGGTAAAGCTCCTTGATCGTCCTAAGTCTTTCCCATGTTCCTCAAGCTGTTGGAGAAACTCATTCTTGTCAAATTGCGTGCCGTCCTCAATATTAGGCATGTCTTGCATTAGCTCTCTGAGTTCTTCGATGGAAAGATCCCGCGCGTAGCTGTCCCCAAACTGATCTGTGTTATCTTCTGCCGCTCGGTGTAATGCATCAGTGGCGTGAAACAGATGCGGCGGTTCAAATGGCAAAAGAAACGCTCCCAATTCCTGTTCAAGACAATCTCTTATCCATTTGGGGCGGATAATGTCAACGGCCCCTCCTTTAATGAGGCTCGCCACCTTTACCACCTTCTTGTCGGCTATCAGAACCATGTTGGTCCCTGGTACGGCTCGTTGGAGGACTGTGCCGCCATTCTCCTTGATGATGGCCTCAAGCTGGGCCTTGGTCTTTTTATAAGGTCGGAGCGCTTCTGAAAGCACGCAGAAGTCCAGTCCCTCGAAAAGGTTTGTCATCTCTCCCTTGAACTCAGCTACAGTCGCGTCTTCTCCAGCAATGGTCAGCTCTCTCTTCACTCGCTTGGGGTTGCGCCGCTTCCTGTCCTCAACCGTCATCGCCTTCTCCTTTGACTCTTCATCAACTCGCTCCTTCAACTCCTGGAACTCTTCAAGGGAGAGGGCTGTATCCCAGGTTCGGTCCAGTCGAAGTCGTCTGAATCGTGGGAATCTTAGTGTGAAGCCTCGAGCGAATTGATCTGAAGGTCCAACACTGGCTGCTTTCACAGAAACAACAACAGAGTCTTTAGGTCGAATCCAGACATCCGGTCTCTCATACTGTCTAAGCTCTCCTCCTCCAAGTTCGATGTACTTTGATGGCGGATTCTTCTGATCCCACTCAATCCACTTGCCTTCTGTTCGATGCCGAATCTCCGCATAGTCTTCTGCACGGAAACCGCCACCGACTTTGAAGAAACTGAAACATTTCTCGGGGTTGGCGCCAGCTTGGATATGATTCTGCGTAACACGCAGTCCACACAGAAAGCTTGATAGCATGCCACCTCGTTTCCCTGAACCATAGTAGCCACCAATAATGACACAGTCGAGGGACTCGCCAAACTCGGACATGTATTCAGGTTTGACCTTGAGCCAGTCATCATTTCGACTGTTGAGGCGGTACATAGATCGCGGGTTCTTCAGCACAAGGCCTTCAGAAGCATTAGCGACGACCTCACGGAGAAGAGGCTCGATTGCGTCGGCACTCGTTGCCTTGTCGTGACTGTGAATTTCAAGTCGGCGATGAACAGGCTTGATAGCCTTTACCAAAGCTCGATGTCGATCCCGCAGGGTATATTGAGTTAGGGGCTTGTTGTTCAGGTAAAGGATATCAAAAACGCGGAACAATGGCCTGTGGCCAGCTGAGTCTGTATCAGACTTATTCTTCTGTTCCGAAAGCGCAGCTGTTTTGAGGGTGCCAAAAGGCACTATCTTGTCGACACCCATATCCCAGGTGATCATTTCGCCGTCCAGGATCAAGTTTTTTACTCCAGATGCAAATGCGTTTTTCAAATGTCTGGTCAGACTTGAGTTCTCGTCTTGAAGACCATCGCCGTAGAGATATGTGTAATCTTTGGCTTTTCGTGACCAAAAACAGAACCTTTTGCCACCCGGGTGGCTCTTGTCTTGGACCATATGAACTTGCATACGCTCACCGTCCAGCTTTTCCTCGATCCAGAATTCGGGGTCTTCCTCGGTTGGTCGAAGAAGCTCGATCATTTTTTGAAATGATGCAGGCATCTGAAATTGGGCGAGCTGTGGTTGGAAACATTGCATCAAAGCAACTCCAGTTTCCTCCTGCTCAAGGCGGGTTTCTGGGTCATGCAGCTCCCAGCAAACACGTCTTAAACTTGAGGACACACTAAATAGAGCATCTCCGTCTGGATGCCACAAGTCAAGGAAAGTCTTCTCCGTGGCCCCGACTTTCATCTGCTTGAGGACGATCCGAATGAGCCACATGAGCTCTTCTGAATTCATGCGATTGTAGAAAGTCTCAAAGACGTGCAGATTCTCTGACTCTCCTGTTGAAGCAGCGAGTTTGTCAAGCTGCTCATTGACTTCTGCAATGGTCATATTCCCAACATCGGTGCGCATTGGCCGCTTTGAGATGACTTCAAAACATCGTCCTGCAAAGTCACCAGCCAGGCGCGACGCTGTCGTCTGACCTGGTAGCTTCCAATGCAACAGGTTGTAGCCATCTTCGGAGTTTTTGTCGATTTTCATAAGCTTAACGAGCAACTTTCCAATTGTGTTTTCTTTGAGTCCGTAAACTCCACGGTCACGGTCTTTGTCTGGCAGGATCAGACGCAAAGCGGGATAGAAATCAGGACCAACTTCTTTGCGCCATCGAGTGATGAAGCGCTCAATGATGTGCCTACGCTGTTCATGAGGAGAAAGCTTGTTCACACCACGGAATCCCTTTCTAGGGCCTGCACCGATGGCATTCTGCTTCTTATTCTCATTGAGGGGGTTGAAGACTTCTCGAAACAGTTCCGAGAAGATGAGCGTCTTTGAGTGATTCTTTGGGCGATTCGGAAAACTTGCGCAAGTTCAGTATGAAGATCGAATTCTTGACGGATTAAGAATTGCTCACTTTTCCTCCAGCTCTTCGCGGGTCATGCCCACGATGCCATACTGGATCTCGTCTTCATGCTGTGCCTCATCAGTTTGCGACATGATGTTTTGTTTACTCTAGTTGTAAGCTAGGCGGTTGCAAAGTAGACATGTATTGAGAAGGCCGTTTCGAAACTGCGACAATGATGATGAAGAAGAAGGACGAAATAAATCATCGAAATGAGATGCGTGATGTTTCTTTCAAACAAAGAGATGTGCCATTTTCTTTGTTCAACTGCTCAAGTCAGATTAACCGTGAATAAGCTATGGCCTGGGCAGAAGCTCCAACTGGGGCGTTGGTGGTTGCTGCCTGTAACTTTACTAGGCTACAGAGGCAATTGAGGGGCCCAAGCTTAACCTGTGATTCTCGTTATGTCAGCACCTGAAGCGTGTCTCAACATGATCATAACAGATGAGATGGAAACATTGAAGTGTGATCCGCTGGTAACTCCGAGTGCCTTCAATAACCGAATTGGAAAGGAGAAGATCCTCTGAAAGCTGCTTCATGATAGCCGAGGGGTATGATGCTAGAAGTGGAACGGGTAATGTTGTGGTTGTGAAATACGACGTTGGCCCTCGTACTACCTAAGTATGCAATGTCAAGAAACATGACGTTAAACTAACAAATGATATCCATTGTCTGATGATAATTCCTGGAGGGAGCTATTAAGAGGGGTCCAATATAAGGTAATTAATGAGCTTGTATAATATTAGAAAAAGTTTAATAAAAAGAATGTAAATCTCTTATTGTGTTTATAAGTTTGGAAGCGCCTGACTTGAAATTCATAAGTTTACCGATCCTTCTTTAGTTGACTTCTTAAGGAGTGCTCTATTGTTAGCCTTCAGCATCGAATTTTTGTCTATTAAAGCCAAGATCGTGACCTATTGATGCAGTGCTACTGGCCGCTTTTCCCGAACCTTGCATTTTTATAAATTGTGTTAAGAAATCGTCCGGTGGTCATTGCGGTCTCTGAAACAGTTATATCTGTAGACTATTGTTTCGGGTCTTTGAGAGACTCATGATCAATCATTTCTATCGTACACAAATGGATAAAGTGCGGTCGTATTCGACCTTGATTTATTCTGTGTTGTTCTATGCCGAGGCGGAAAAATGTGGATAAGAAGCTTGTTGTGAAAGCTTGGCCTTTGAGAATGAGACTGCTCATCAGCGATTGGCGTGGAGATTCATCGTGAAAGACATCGTCAGGACGTCATAATAGACGATGGCATTCTTCGATGGACCAGGGACGGGTAATCGGCTTCTGCCCATCAAAGTCTGGACCTTTCGAACACACTAAGGGTCGGGTTATTCAACAGCGGCTGCGATATACGAGTTGAATGGTTGAAAGCTCCATTGAGAAACAACCCCCTACTCCCCTAAACCGACCACTGAAATTGGTGCTGACGGGCTGAACTTCCCCTGCATCCTGACGCCGCGACCCATCCATGAGGAATCGAGCACCCTTGAATTTATTTTTATGCGAGTCTTAGGTAACTCGAACTGGACCTGATCCTTTTCATTCCATCTCTCTCAGCTGCGCTGATAGGGCTTTCTGCAGCTTTAAAAGTTACTTTTATTCTACGCGCTCGTTCGACTGGCTGCAATATATACTCTACTTCTCGCCTCTGCCTTTCAGCAGGGCATCTTCCCATCCATGTCAACATCACGAGACTTCGCTGTCCCAGCGGAGCACGATAATACGATGCAGCCCCAGGACGATATAGAGCAGAGCAGTCGCCAAAGCCATTCTTCCAACACCAACGTATCTGACGAGAAGGATCAGCATGTCCGCTACAACCTCACCCTCAACACACAGAACCTCTCCCCGCCCAAGGCTGAGCCTATGCGGCCAGTGCGTTCCGATACAGAGGTCCATCGCGAAATGACATTTTCACCCTCGATATTGCGACGCCGAATGACTCGCGCCCCAACGTTCAAGACGGTGGAGGATTATGATGAGTTCGACACTGCCTTTGGCGATCGCCCTGGTTGGCAGCCTGGCTCCGAGCCTGGTTATGACCCAAAGCTTCCCGATGGAGGTCATGCTTCAATGCCTGCACTTCAAGCACCCTGTGAGATTTCTGTAATCGACTTTTCGCAAGAAAAAATGGTTAAGCGACACTTCGATAATGTGAATTTCATCGACTTCCTTGAACAGCCAAAGGAAGAATGGGCCAAATGCCGATGGATCAACGTCAATGGACTCAGTTGGGACGTTATTCAGGCAATCGGCAACAAGAAGGGTCTTCACAAGCTTGCTCTGGAGGACATGATGCAGATTAGGAACCGGACGAAAGCTGATTGGTATCCCAACCACGCTTTCATCGTCATGACCCTGCAGAAGCTCGTCCACCTGGTAGACGATGAAGATGACACAACCAGCACAACCAGCACATACTCTAGTAAGACGCTCGGCGCTTTGAGGGGCTCAGTGAGGCAGCTTTGGAATACTCGCAGGGCGGCCGACCCCGAGAAGAACTTTGAGACCTCGCTACGACCACAGGACCCTATTACAGCAGACCTGCAAGAGACGGGCATGATAAGGACATTACAGCGTTATCACGCCTCGGGAAATGAGGCACGAACAGAATTCATGGAGAGCCATTCATCCCTTACGCCATATCAGATGGCCGTTTCGGCAGAGCAGGTCTCCATATTTCTAACATCAGATAACACGGTCATCTCTTTCTTCGAGGTCTCAGCGGGAGATATTGAGCGGCCCATTGTCACCCGTCTGAGTACCCCGGGCACTATTCTTCGCGAGTCCAATGACGCGTCCCTGTTATGTCAGGGCATTATCGACGCCATCATCGACCTTGCCATACCTTTGACGTCTATTTACACAGACATTATTGCCGACATTGAGCTAGATGTGCTCACCTCGCCGAGTATCAGTCAAAGCAAAAAGCTGTATATATGCATTAGTGAGATCAACAAAATGCTGAGCTTCCTCAACCCTATTGACAACCTGGTCAATGTTCTGCGGGATCACAAGACACATATGACCCACGATCAAGCCATGCAGGCACTGGAGAACCCTTCAACTGGTGTTATTGTCACTCCCATGACCCACACATACCTAGGCGATGTGCTCGATCACTGTATTATGATAACTGAAGCTCTACAACAACTCAAACAATCATCCGACAACCTTATCAACCTTATCTTCAACACCATATCAGCCCACCAGAATGAATCGATGAAGCAGCTTACCACTGTGACCATCATTTTCCTCCCTTTGACATTCATAACAGGATTTTTCGGACAGAACTTCGCGGAAGAGGGGTTCCCCGAAATCCACCATGGTATTTGGTATTTGTAAGTATTCATTTCATCCAATGTACAGGGGAGACGAGAAAACTTGGGACCTCTATCCTAAATGACGAAAAGACTTGAGGTAAATCCGGGATAACTTAGTCTGCCCTGAGACTAGTTATTCTGGCACCTTGGTCAAGAGTCAGAAGTTTTCTTGCTCCCTGGCGCTTGTTTTCTTGGGCTGGGCTGTTTACAGCGCAATACTTCCGAAGTAATGCACAATACTAACAACATTGTAGCTGGGCCTGCGCCGTTCCGACTGTTGTAGCGACCATCTTGATTCTCATGAGAGAGATGATTTACAACTGGCTGGTGCGAGTCGTACAAAGAAGACATATCCTTACACTTAGAAAAAAGAAGAAGAGATCCAAGCAGCAAAAGATCAAGCTTAAGGTGTGACGGACACGCTGCGGGCAGGTAAGAATACTCAAGACCTCGATTCTAAACGACAAAAAGGCTAATGGAAATTTAGCATAAGCTCAGGAAGCTTTTTGATGGGCTTATTTTGGCATCCCTGTTATAAGGCCCGAGATGCCTTTTCTCCCCAAGGGCCGCTTATGAGGTTGAATGGCGGGAACATTTGCATTAGTGATACCCAAGTATTGGCAAAGGAGTGGGCGTGATTAATTTGTGAGTGGCAGTGGATTTGAGTATAGCATTTATGAACAAACCTTACCAAGCGCACCAGCCCTTTACTGAAGGGTGTCAAAAGCCTGAGAACAAAGCAAGCTATAATAAAGTTACCTAAATTTATGAATTAAAGAAAATGGTGTTCTTGACTAAATTCTTGATAGTGTTATAGAGATTTACATATTAAATTGAGATTAGACTTGATGGATCTGGATACTAGAATCTACCTGTTAACACCATCCGTGTCTCCATCTTTACACTGCATACGAGGATGCCAACGTCGTATCTCACGGCCACAACATCCCCCTTTCCAAGTCTGGCATCATCCCCTCCTTTTTAAAACGCTAACCCAAGGTACTCGGAGTTACCAGAGCGCAGCGGGTCAGACTTGAGTATTCTTTGACAGAGAAGGGACAGGACCAATCCAGTCAATCTTATTCCTTGAGGTGCATCAATACCCCTCAGAAGATGTTGTACGAAACGGAAGAGCTCTAATACCGGCTCTGCATGCGTAAGCTATCAGTCTTGATTCAAGCGTCCATCAGCAAACGATGGCAGTGTCTTCAAGGCACATTATAAAGTCGCATGATATAATTCATAGATTGAGGGTATAGGTATCAGAATACAACCAACTCCTGACAGCTTTGGCAGTTGTCATCCTTTCCGTGCGTCGCACTCATAGAAATACATCCTCCACCTTCAGCTTGAGCTAGGCCTTCTAAATTGACTTCATTTTATCGTATAAACGCTCTCTATTTGTCTCTCTCTCTCAACCTTGTCTGTTGTCCGGGTGGTAGAAATAAGGGTATCGAGGAACCACAATGGAAGGGCATTCGAACCACCATCGAGGGCAACAAACGCCATGTGTCAGAATTATCCGTGTGTTGTGCCAACTAGCAACACAACGATCGGGGAGAGTGAAGGGGAGCTCGTTTAGACCCTCTGTTGTCCAGGCATCTGGATCATTGATTCGGTGGATTTCTTGGTATACTTGGGGGCAGGATGTTTCGAAAAGGAGCCCGCCATAACATCCGCAAAGATTTAGGAATAAAACGTAACCGCACATGTGGGCTATTGAGATGTCGTTCTGGGGGCCTTGTTATTTTGTGCGCGCCCGTTGAGTAGCATGAGCAAGCCCAGAGAACGAGAAGCATAACGATGGTCCTGGTAGCTGAGCTTGAGGCAAGTCGTTTGAGTCTCAGGACACATCATGGTCAGCATCTTCGGGTTGTCGGTAGAGATGAAGGGTGGTAGTTTGTCGTTCGTGGTTCAGACGCCAGCTGCGAACCTTCTGATTGTTTAAACGGTTTGCGCTTCTGCTCCGTTTGAGGATCATTGTTAGTAACAGGCTCATGTGTAGCAACTTTCCCCGAACGAACTGTTTGACAGCCGTCCACTTATGCCGAAAGCAACGTGCGGCGGTTGCTCCGCGCATGAATAGCGAACCACAAACCCTTCTGTGACACCAATCTGTCATTCTTATTCCGGCGAAAATGGATCTAGCATGACGGTTTGAAGTTGACTTTGGGCCAAGAGATTCTCGGTTTGGTCGGCTGTTCAGTATGGGCCACTCGGCCATTAACGAACGGGAGGGAACATCATAGCAGGAGCACGTCGCTCTCGAAGGAAGAGATGGAATACGATAGTCTATAGCCTAAACTTGCTATGAATTCACAGTACAATGAAGTCGGTTGAAGTACATGCTCGGTTCAGGCTTATACCAATAAGCTTGAAATTTGAGTTATCGCATTGGACGGGTCGTCGCGAGCCGTCACCGCCTGTTGAAACAACGGTACGGAAGTCGGGTCTACTTCTTTAACGATGGATCTGTTGAATCCTCAGGTGAAAATGAGGGCCGTGGAAATGCGAGTCAGTAGAGGTTAAAGTAGAGTTCCTTAGCTACAGGTAGGTAAGCACACGTGAAGAGTCAAATGCATATTTGGAGATCATCCAGAAAGAAAAAACCCCCATGATCTCGATTACTCAAAATTATGCTCGCGTGGTCAAGGTAAGATCTCACCATTGGTTATCTTCTCCAAAAACTGATTATCAGTGAGCAATGGGCCTTCATCCCGCTCCACCCACGTGAACCACTGATGTCACCTGGTCCACCGATAATGGAACTGGAAGCCCCTGTAACAAGCTCTGAAGCTACCCCCGCATAACTCCAACTCGTAGTGTCGCAGCATAATGCCATAATCGCCCATCCAACCATTCTCTGTTGTCTTGTTGGACCTTGCACAACACTCTTCCTCCTTCTTACGCGGCCAGATACCGTACAATGGTTTGTCTCTCCTCTTCTTCCCTTCTGCCTCAGTCCGAGACTTATCTTGTCATCCCACGTTTTCTTTTTAGCTAACAATGCCTTCTCCTCAGGCCAACGAAAGCGATCCTCTCTTGTCCGGCTCCGGTGACGGCCGCTCCGATGCTCAGGCCGATAAGGCCGCCCGGAACTCGCGACTCCGTGAACTCGGCCTCTTTGCCTGGGCTCTGATTGCCACTGCTGCTGTCATTGTTGTTGCTATCTGGACTCAGCATGAGCAACAAACCAAGCATGATCACAACACGCCCGCTTCTAAGCGAAACCTCGTCTTCATGGTGTCAGACGGCATGGGCCCTGCACCTTTGTCCTTGACGCGTAGCTTCCGACAACACGTGGAAGAGCTTCCCTTCGGCGATACCCTCACTCTCGATAAGCATTTCTGGGGCACGAGCCGGACTCGCTCCAGCAGTTCCCTGGTTACAGACAGTGCTGCCGGTGCTACAGCCTTCTCCTGTGGCAAGAAGACCTACAATGGTGCTATCTCTACACTCCCTAGCCACGATCCTTGTGGAACAGTCCTAGAAGCTGCCAAGCGTGCTGGATATCATACTGGACTTGTTGTCACAACAAAGATTGAGGTATGTATGACTAGATTGTAACGAAGTCATTACGAAACTAATCAAGACTATCTAGGATGCGACTCCAGCCTGCTTCAACTCCCACGTGGTCCTCCGCGAGATGGAAGACGAGATTGCTCTTCAACAGATCGGAGAAGGTGTCCTGGGCCGAACTGTTGATCTGATGCTTGGTGGTGGTCGCTGCAACTTCTTGCCCAACAGCACAGAGGGCAGCTGCCGAGCTGACGACACGGATGTGATCAAGATTGCAAAGGAAAAGCACAACTGGACCTACACCGACAGTCGCGCTGGCTTTGACGCTCTCAAGGGTGGCAACAACGTCAAGCTGCCTTTCCTCGGACTCTTTGCCCCAACTGACATCCCCTTTGAGATTGACCGCCGAAACCACAACGACGTCTACCCCTCGCTGAGCGAAATGGCCAAGACTGCTCTTCGCGCTCTTGAGAAGGCTACCGAGAAGAGTGACAAGGGCTTCTTCATCATGATCGAGGGTAGCCGAATTGACCATGCCGGTCATATCAACGATCCTGCAGCTCAGGTCCACGAGGTTCTTGAGTATGACAAGACATTCCAAGCTGTTCTTGATTTCATCAAGGAAAGCAAGACTGAAACTGTTCTTGTCGCAACCAGCGATCATGAAACTGGTGGCCTTGCCACTGCGATTCAGGAACCCGGTCACCTCCCTGTCTACAACTGGTACCCCAAAGCCCTCGCAAATGCTACCGCCTCGGCTGAGTGGCTTCACGCCAAGCTCAACACACACCTCGCCTCTGATTCCAGCATCAAGAAGAATAAGGAGAAGCTAAAGAAGTACATTAACGAGGAACTCGTCGTCCGCGGTCTTGGTATTTCCAATGCCTCTGACAAGGAGATCACCACCATTGCCGATCACCCTGAGAGCGCCCTTGTCCTCTTCTCAGCTCTCATCTCCCTGCGCGCCCACGTCGGTTGGAGTACCCACGGCCACACTGCCGTCGACGTCAATATCTACAGTTCTGGTGGCCCGGGAACAGAGAGCATCCGTGGTAATGTTGAGAACACCGATGTTGGCAAATATCTACGGGAGTATCTTGAGGTTGACGTTGACGCGATCACCTCGGAACTCAAGGAAAAGATGAGCAAGGTTAATGTCCAAGATGTTGGCATGGAAGGACTCGACGAAGTTTGGTCTCTCGGCAACAAGTACCATGCTATTGAGGTCTAACGGATGTACTGCATTTCTTAGAATGATTATACGACTTACATGAGTCTAGTAAGAGGTCGGTAGGGAGATTGTGATCAAGATATGCAGAGCGGTATACCCAATCTATAGTAGATTTACTCATTAGCCTGCCTATGATGCATTTGAACTTTTGAGTTTTCAGACCAGCGCAACTACAGCAACTTCTTAGCGGATGTCTGGTGATGTATCGCCCAACAGACATTCCCTGCAATTCACATTAAATCAGATAATCAGACTCATCGTAGTCATCCCAGCATGACGCCAGTGGTACCCGAGTCTAAATGTGTTGTCCAGTTCACCTCAATACAGACCCGAGAAAGTGGGTAGAGTATCATGCCTGTTAAGTGCCCACTACAATGCTTGGCTCCGACAAACATCGAGTAGTCCATTATCTATACGCTAGTTGCCAACAGAGACCACCGACCAGACTCCTGGTTGTTAACTAAACCATGGCCCATAATCAACGCTTTAAGCCAATATACTCCTCGCTTGTGGCCGTTAACACCCTTAACCAAACGCCTTTCTCTCTTGATAATCATGACTGGCTGGCAGAAACCGTGTCAACATTGTATCGTACATACAGCCGATCCAGGAAGTGTGAGTGGCGGATCCCGTTAGGCCTCGCCTTGGCAAATGTGTCGATAGCCTCCTGAACACCGAAATCGCACCGCTCAACGAGATAACATACGATAAAGTATCCCGTGCGGTTGAAACCATAATGGCAGTGCACTCCAATAACACACTGCTCGGGATTGGTCCAGTCCTCAGCGGTAGCGCGTGCAGGCTGCTGGTCTCTAAGGTCGTCAACTAATTTGATGAAAGCTTCAACCTCACGAGCCTCTGGAGGTATCTTCGAAACTGTGGGGAACTTGTGATAATAGATTCCAGCTCGTTCTAACCCGCGGGGGTCATAGACAGGCTGGTCTTTTGAGATATCAATGATATCTTTGACAATAGAACCCCAATTCGAAACAAAATTCTGTGGACAATGGACATCGTCCACTTCACGAAGTGTCTTGAGTGCCCGGAAAATAGGTTTTCCAGCAGGTCCAATCGGCTCGGATACGGGATTGACAGACTTCCATTTGTTAAGGTTCTTGACGTCCCATTTTCCCTCACGGGAGAGGTATTGCAGTTGCCAGGCCAGGGAAAGTCTGCCAGTAACGTGTGTGGCAAGGAAATCAGAAATTAACCCAGCAACGGCACGAACTGAGCAGGGAGCGTATAGGACAGCGTGTGTTGCAGGTGACGGCATCATAATGGTCTTTACTACCTTTCTGGGGTGGTTCGGTTGCGCAGGTAGTTCAGTCATAGTCTCGTCGGGGGTTGAGGGATCATTAGGGCTGTCCTCTTCTGAACTGGGAAGCACCGGAGACTTGGCCTTTGTGAAGTCATCATCATTGAGATCTTCAATAGCTTGTGGCATATGATCCTGCGGTCTTGTAGAAGTACTGACGGGGGCAGCAGCGTCGGCAATAGCCTCGTGTGTCTCTTCTGATGACCCTGACTCTGGCAGAGTCTTCTCAGGGTCCAATGCTTTAGCAATCTTTTCGGCTTCTTCAGGTGAAACAACAGTGTCCCCTTTAGCACCTATCAAAAAGACGGGGATATTTAATCCTGCCCAGACCTCCAGGGTTGGGAGACCGCCTTTAGGTTTGCCGTTGTGATAGAGTGGTAGGGCGCCATTAGCCATGCGTCTAAAGACTGGGGTTCGACTCTGTCTGTTAAAGCGATATTGAAGTTTTCGGGTAGCCTCGTCAGCATCCTTTCCAACGAAACGTATGATACTGGCACTGTTGGGGCCCCCCCAACCTTCCCAGGCTCGCCACAAATTAAACATCCATTCCGGAGCCCAAAGTCCCATCCGAAACCACCATGTCTTTGATTCATCAGGAGGGTTTGACACAGGGCAAATAGCCACCAACCCTACGACGTACTCGGCTAGCGAAGTTGTATGCTCGAGTTGCGTGTTGGCCAACTTAGCAGCGAGACTTGTCCCCATGCTGTGGCCGATCAGGACCACTCGTTGGCCTGCGTCCTTGTCTCGATAGTCCTCAATGACTGTTTCCAGAAGCTCTACCAAAGCATCCGTCGTGTAGGCATCCCAATTAGTGACCGAGAACTCAGATCGGCCACAACCGGGGTAGTCAATTGCCATGCAAGGGGCTTCATCCACCAGACTACTTAACAGAGGATGAAACTGGGCAACAGAGCCACCCAAGCCATGCAGAAATACCAATAGTGGTAGTGGAGCAGGTTTTTTGGGTAGTTGGTCTGCCTTGGTATGTTGTCGGTAGAAAACTCGAATTCCAGAGTATTTGAAACGACTTGTTGTATAGGACTTGAACTCTGAGTGATCCCTCAGCAAGGTCGGGTCCGTGAGGTGAGGGTCAGTGGAGTCAATGTCGTCCTGTTGGACGCTCGCTGCAGGAGAGGCCATAAGTGCGTCTGGGGGTTTAACTCCAGGATATTGGTGGAGGTATTATAAGTTTGTTGCGGATTTTTTATAATGGATAAGAAAGAGGGATTGAGTCGCGATTGGGTTTGAGTTTGGGTCGATTGTTTTAGTTGTACCAGAGATTGAAGCTGCTGTTGAGTCACCAACAAGGTATTATTGGTATTACACGAGTAACACCAAGTTCGCGTGTTTCTCCGACCGCCGCAGCTGTCTTCATACAATCAACATGGAATATGTCAAATAGTACAACGCCGGAAAGGCTTGCAATTTCATAGAGAAGACCAGTTGACAACGGGAACTTGAATGATCAACAAACAAGGCCCAGCCAAGCTTTTGAAGTTCTTGGACGGTCGACCCTAGGTATGTGCCCCACGCGAACCGCGGTCAGGGCGCGCCAAAGAACAAAAATTGCGTGAAGTGTGACCTAATAATGTCAAAATTCGATGCTGAATTCGATGATCTTCAGTGTGGATATTGTGTGGCGTTGCTGAATTGATATTGATGAGAATGGAGATTGATTTGGTTTTGAGTAATTGTCAAAGTTCAGGGAAGCAACCAATTACACAATTGCATCATACCTTGTGGGCGAATGAGATCGCCATTGGGGGAACCAATTATTTGTGCAGGAGTGAGGCATGTTGTACATGGAACCTACCCTAAAGATGATGGAATTTATGAGTAGAATCTCGAAGAAATGCTCCTTACCTTGTAATTTTGGTTATCTTTAGTTTTTATTATTGACTCGAATTGGCTCCGAGTACCTTATGGCATTTTGGGGAATGCCAGTCTGTGTTGGTTCAGTAGCTGCGTCTATACATGGGTAAACAGTCATGTGTGGTGAATGCAAGTGCTCTGGCTGTATCCATAAATCTCAGCTATATCGCAAACTTTTGCAATGTAAGTCCCTGGCCTCGACTGTTAGAAAGATATACCACGGCACATAGAGAATGAATATAGAATTCGAAAACAGAGAGCTTTCCGAATCTCATTCCGATTGCTTTGCATGGGCAAAATAGTCAGTTTGAGGACTCGCCATTTCCCTGTTTATGATAGCGAATATATACAGCATCTTGCCCTCGCGTTCATACTCTTACAATATAAATACACTTTCGAAATGCGCCTCTCGATTCAACTGCTTTCATTCCGCTCCAACACCGTCCTTCCATCCAATGGGTATCAGAGCAGCTGCTACGTTCGAAACACCTCGTTCTGTGGCCAACAAGTTGAACTGCGCAGCTGCATTTCTCGTGTCTAGGATTTCGATTCGCATACCAAGTTCCGATATAAGTCGTCTCGTTTCGGGTGCCAATGGCATAATAGATGGGCCGACTCCAATGATGAGAAGATCTATAACTCAATTAGCAAAGAGCATTCTCCTCAAGGATGCCAAATATATCATGACACAAGTGGCGAGGATGAACACATACCAGGTCGAGGCCATAGAAGATCAAATAGCGCAAATGCCTTTGGTGGTAGCTCAAACTGGCCCTTCTTGTTGACAAGATTCATTGAGCCCTTGGCCTCCCACGGGCGCCAGTTGAATACCTCGCCATCAATCAACAAAACGCCATTACCGCCCGTCACAGTGATGCCGCTGTTCAGTCCAAATCCATCATACATGCACACGTCGACCGAAGTTGAAGGCGCTGGAGTGTTGCCGAGCACGTCGAGCTCGGCAAAGTCGGTGGGGGGAGGTTGTGCTGGTGGCTGTTGGTCCTTTCTCCGGCTCGGAAGGGCGTGGAAGAGTCGACGACTTGATATAGAGGCTTGAGAACGAGGTGAGACTGTCGAGGTGGCGGCTCTGAAAACTGTAGTCGTAGATCTAGGTCGCGGCGTCTGGATGAGAGCTTGGCACACTGCTCGTTGTGCGCTGCATGGCCGGATGAGACTTCGTGATGCCATGACTGAATGCTAATTATGACAATATCGCGGGCTTTCGAGGTATACAGTTGTGGCGGAGGGAAGGATTTCTCGTTTCGATGTAGGAATTGGAAGAGATTATCAAAGTAAGTGGGGGATAGATAATTTTAGCACGTCATGATTTCACCTCGCCATATTCAGTCTACGTATTTGAGATGACACAAATGGAGAACCCGTTTAAATGACAATGAATCAATGAGACACATATTGACAATCCAAGTGGATGTAATTTGAACCAATTGGCGCCGGTAACTTTTATCTCACTTTCATGGTCATAATTTTTAACACCTTCGCCACACCAACGATACTTCATCACTCATGCACAGTCCACGCCAGCTTGATGTTCTTTTCTCATTCAAGTCACCAAGAGGATAGTAGCAGTCCTAAGACGGCGGACGGCCAACCATTTGGCACCGGCCCGATGTATCATGCAGTCCCTTTTTGCCTAATGAACACCAAAGCAATGAACCGAGTCCTCAGAGTTCCTTGCCTTTCCCACGCAAAGCCTAACCTAGCAATGGAAATTGCATTTATTTCTTCTTCTGGCTCTGCTCCTGCTCCTTGAGCACCTTCTTGACGATCTTCTGCTCCTCAATGAGGAAAGCTCGGACGATACGGTCGCGGACACAGTTACCGCATCGAGAACCACCGTAGGCGCGCTGGACGGTCTTCTGGGGCTTGGAGATCTGAGAGTACTCGCGGGGTCGGAGAGCGGGAATCTATGGGAGAATTGGGTCAGTTCTAATATTCCACGGTAGGTCGATAATCCTTTGCGACAGAGGGTAGAGACAAAACAAGAAGCGGTTGGTTGGATGGGTCATGCCAAATTTCCTTCCTCTCGCGGTATGTGAAGCCATCGGCCTTGATGTCACAACCGCTCGTTGCCTCGCATGCCAGCCAGTACCCGTGTGCCGTCCTCGTGTTGTCTCATCCCTCGTATCGCAGAAGATTCGCTTGTCGTGGTCGACTTACGCCTGAGAGCTTGGAGCCGCAGTCACCACACTTGGGGACGGTGCCTCGCTTCTTGATGTGCAGCACGCGGAGCTCACCACCGGGGGTACGTATGGTACGGGTAGTGTTGCTTCTCGTGTTCCAACTGAGAGCATGGTTAGTTCCTGATCGTATGGCCGAGTCGAAAGTATGAGGCTGTATGGCGAGAACCAGGATCTCGACATATTCGAGAGCGAGAAAACTCGACAGCTTCGTAGGAAAGAACTCACCCGTTGCGGCGGCGGTAGGTGACTCTGTGGTTAACCATTGTAGCGGCTTGGTGATTTGACTGAGCTGCTCGGGTTAGTTGGTGTTGGACGTTGGACGCGGGAGTAGGAGAGGAGATTTCGCAAAACACTCGAGTTGTTAATTCTGTGTGGGTGTGTAAAATTCGTGGTGGGGCTGGCGTGCTAAGCACGTGATACAGCCACAAAGTGGCTTACGCTTTCGCCAGCCGCAGGTTCCACTTGGACTTGGATGTAAAATAGATCCTCAGGGTAGTTTCATTTAGTTGGTGGTGATCTGTGGATAGAGAGAAGCAACATGCTTCATCTGTGCCAGTTTCGCAGAAACAGATCATATCTCTGTGCTTCCCGAACTCCGCCGAACAGGTTGAGTCGGGTGAAACGAATTTGCTGTTATTCAATGGATAGACGGTGTGCGATAACAGTGGGATGCATTGAAATAGTGAATCAGGCCTTGCTTTCCAAACTCCTAAGACCAAAAACTCAGCATAAGTCACAAATTGACTCTTTGGAAACATTCACGCTGATTATTTTGATTTGTAATTTGCTCTGAATAATATATGTGGTGCCAGTTCTTGTCATTCCTCCATGCCCAGCCAAGGCTATCTATTCACGGCCGATCTCGCGGCCAACCCAACTACTTGTATTCAGATCCATAAAAATGTTATTTTCAAGTTCTACTAAATACTGAAACAGTATCGATATCGAGATACTGAGTCTCAATTGGCCTACTTCTGAGTCTTGACTGAAACTGGTGCCATATTCCCCTGACTATAAGTCACGATGTAACTCGATAGGTTCTCAGCATAAAATGATATCTTTGTTCTAGTAAACGTTTAGAAATATGATTAGTCTGTAGAGGATGGGGAAATCGCTAATATTTATCATTAATGCTTCTGATTTCCCTCCCCCGAGCACTTTGAGCCTTTAGCTACCTACTAAAGCTATACATATTCTATGATTTGGAGATAGAGGAGAATATGAGTTCTTGACTCCATGATCAGAACACTTCATATAGAGGGTTTATTAACTGAAATGTAGACTAAGCTAGGCATAACTATTGCAGAAGATCCAATGCCATTCTCCCATCATGTTCTCTCCGCCCCCCCTGGCAGCTCGGTATCGGTTTTGCTAGAGTAGGTCTTGCTATGTGGCCTCAACCGTCAACCGCGGTGCCATTCGCGAACCGAAAGTTAATATAAAGCTAGAAAGGAAGCCCATTCTCAAAGCAGGAGGAACGTACTTCTATGGACCTCACGCCCTCGGATCAGATCTTAGAGTGTGTAGTCAAAGATGATCAACCTATCCTTGCCCTGGAAAAAGGAAACAGTCTTATGGAAACTTAGGGGCTATGCCTCTCTGTTCCCCAAATTATGCAAATCAGGACAATTTGACTGTAATATATCACAAACTCTATAGGAGTTCCCCGAAACCTTGTTCATTTCACTGAGCTTCTGGCCGCCTCGTCGTTAAAGAAGCAACCTCAGAATTCATGGCATCGAGTATCACTAATGAGCGAGGCGGCAATGTTTGTATCATCGATCCATTGGATCGAAAAAAAACTGTGTGGTGCTTTGTTCTAAAACTCCATGATATTGATCTACCGTCTTCCAGTAGTGAAAAAAGTCCGAAAGCGTTTTCTGCACCACTCTTGCTCCTATCATTAATGTCCCGATGATGTAATTAAACCGTCCATAAACGCCTATGCTATATGTCCCATGTATCTCGTTATTCTTCATCCATTCTGAACCAGTCTGGGTGATCATAATATTCCCAAGTCTTGATACCTGTGGGCTCTTCCTCTTTTCTCTTCTTGGCCTGCGCAAAGATTTCACGACTTTTCTCATCGCGCATCAAGTCGGTAACCTCTTTGATGTTTGCTTGCGCTTCATTGACTGAGTTCATGAAAGCTGCAAACATGACATCGGCTATACATAGGTGACGGGTCAGCTCAGGATGTTTCAGAGTACGAGTGGACTAGGGAGCCTACGCGAAGGTTGCTTTTGCACAAGCGGCTTGATCATCTTGGGGATGGTGTCGTTCAATTGCCGGACCTGAAACAAGAGCCTGATGAGCAAGTTTGCATCTCGTTTTCTCACGTTGAAAACGACGTTACCTTGATGTGCAGAAGCTTGAGGCGTTTCATGGCTTCCTCAAGGCGCGCCTCATCCCAGCCATCCTGGCCGGCTGCATTTGGCGCCTGAGCCTGAGCCTGATTTTGAACGGCAGGCTGCTGGTTCATGTTTGCGAATGGGGTAGGAAGACCGGTAAAAGATAGGGTATCCAGAAGTTGATGGCGCTGAGGAAGCAACACGAGATCGCAGGTGGCCGAGCGAATGAGAGGCTTGCGTGGACAATGGGGAAAGGATCAGACTGGCAAAA